GAAGTGCTCATGGATTGCGAATGCGAGCCAAAAGTCAGGCGAAAGGTTTCCAGAAAAAATGGTGGCTGAAAGTTTGTTGAACTTTTGCTACGGCAAAATAAAATTAAAAATAAGTTTCGGGTAAGGAAAAAAATTCAATTTCTTTGCATATTAAATCAGGCAAATCATTGTCTGACCCGGGGCCAAACTAGTTATAAAAAGATCTGCCGCCGAGCGGTTGGGTTATGTCATGGCACCATACATTTTCCCCCAAAATGCTAATGTTGGCACAAAGAATATTTCGCCAAAGTCAGGGCCAGATATTCTCCGATCCCATGATTTCATAATTCCGTCAGCCTTTGCGTTCTTACCAACTTGCTTGGCCACTTCTATCTATCTATCTAATACCTCGATGCCCCGGGGGCATAACTGGGTTCAAACACCTTTCGAAAACTTGCCTAATGCGTGTATTGATTGGAGTGTGTGCCGGCTTCCAGTCGCTATTCGGATTTTTCATCTTCAACGCGGCTCCCCCACGGAAATCGGGGCCCATTGCGAAAGAGATCTTCATGTCTCGAACAATTTGTTGCGCCTGCTCTGCAAAATAAACCAAGATGGAGCTCTTGGCGGGATCTGTGACTGGAGTTGAGGTTGCTTCATTGTATATCACCGAGGCATATTTCGAGTGTTGTTTGTTTACAGTGCAAATTCCATAATTCCAATCAGCGAGAGTGTGCGGCATAAAACGTTGGGATTCAAAGAATTTCAAGTCAAATGATTTGTATTCATGAGTACTATTATATTATAATGGGTTTTAGTCAAGGAGTAATATATACAAAGAAGTGACAACTGGGCTTAACTTACATATTCTTGTTTAAATAAATATATGATTTTTGTAGGATGTACACTATTTTTTCCCCGTGTGTCGCACATTTTGCAATTTTCATTTCTAATGCCTTGGAAACTGGCTGCAATTTGGTTGGTCGCTCGCCGCTTTACAGTTTGATTAGCTGGAAAATTTGCCATCGTTTAATTAAATTATGTCTGCAGTCGGTAGTTGATAGTTGGTAGGAGTTGGTGCCTGCGCTTACGTGTATGGGCAGTCGAATGACAATGAGCGGAAATGGCGGGCAATTTGCATGCAACGGCAGCTGACTTATTCCATTTCCATATCTCCCCTAACCTGCCCCTGCCCCTGCCCCTGCCGCTTAAGTGAAAGGTGCGGTCCGTTGGCCAACCTAACGCTGAAAAGCATCTTGGCCATTGAACTCTGCGTTCTAAGGCAACATCTCGGTGATTATGTAATTTCTCCAGATGGAAATTGAATTTGCTAAAAAAGAAAATTGCCGGATATGCATGAACCGTAGAAATTATCTAAACAACCATACTGTACCTATAGTCATGGCCAATAGCTTTACCTGCTAGAAAGATACAGTTAGGTAGAGAATGGTATGTTAACCATTTATTATTTTAAGCATAATGATCTTGAGATAATTAGTATGTTTTGCAAACCATTATACTTGAATATACTTTAAAATGTGATTTAAATGGCTAATAATAGACCAACTTTGACATTTAACATTTATTTTAATTGTTTAAAAATGATGTTTACTAGTTGCTTTACTCTTTAGATTTCATAAATGACGAAGAAAATGTATTCAACATTACTAAGAACTTAAAAAATAAAGTACAAATATTTAAATATTTGAGAAATCAAAAACAAAATAGAAAATATAAAAGAGAGAAGACTTCAAACAAGTATTGCAAATAAAAATCCTGCTCGAAGAACAATGCTTTCCCCGAATCCCAACTTCTCTTCCAATCTAATCCGAAAATTCTTGCTACAAAAAGCCAGTTTATCTTATAAATTCGTATAACTCTCCGTTCCATTTCACTCATTACCAGCATGCACGCACATATTTCAATCATCTTGATGAAGTTGCAGCCAACTGTGCCACTGTGGAAATCGAGCTCCAAGCCATTACTCTTGGAACCTCATCACTTCCCACTGGCCACGCCCAGAACGCCCCCTCAGTGCCAGGGAAATAGAGCCCGTATCGCATATAGTATATAGTATATATGGTAGTGTGTTGAGACTGCCGAAAAAAATCGCTAACGAACCAAGTGTGGCCGAGGTCCCTGGCTCTTGGTCCCTAATGGCCTGCACATGTGCTACGTGGCAGCAAACGAACTGCAGTCGGACACGGGCGAAATACACCCCCTTAACCCTACAAGACCCATTCCTAGAAACCTAGACTAGAAGTGTCCAAAAGAAATCGACGCAGTCACGTAAAATTATTTTAATAATCACATAACTTTCGGCATTTACACGCCGGGCGATCCAATGGGAGCAGCAAACAAAATGTCAATAAATTTCGGACTTTTAGTTTGAGCTAAAAAAGAATAAGTACAAATACAATGGCAGTGAAGTTAGAAGCAAACAATATAGTTGTAAAACTTGTTGTATTAATTAAATTAAATCTAATTTCTGTCAATTGCTGAAATTACAACGTATATAAACACTGGGATTGCAGAGCAAAATCTCACTATTGATAAGAATATAGTATATACTTAAGTAGTTATTCCTCACTGTCAAACTATCTAATAGCTATCTCTCCGTTAAAGTTAATTAACCGTTAAATATATCGTAAAAAGAATTGATTTCTTAGTCAATATATTATGTTGTTCTACTTTTTCAAACGAGGTTATATTTATTCCGAGCAACTGTTCCTAAAAATATTTGAAAACCATTTCAATACTACAATACTATTGTTTCGACCACATTTGTATTTCAGTAACAAAGTTGGGATATGCAGAAGAAAAAGTAGAAGTTTCAGCGGCCAGAGCGCTTAAGTGGGATTTGCGGGGCACTTTAGTGTCAACTTTAACAATAAGTTGGTCGAAAAAAGAACGTGGCGCATAAATGCCGAACAGAAACATTCGCCTGCACATAAGCCGCAAACTTTTGGCGGCCACTGTGGGCTAATGAAATGAAGCCTCCCACAACAAAAAAAAATATATATATATATATGTACTATATACTTAAGAACTTGAGCTGATTCCACACAGCAGGTGACCGTCTGTGTTTTTGTTGGGTTCTCTTTCTGGTTAGCCCCTGGTCAGTGTTTCAGCTATCAATTGCATCTGTCTATCCGGCAGATACATTTCACTAAAGTCAGAACTGGGATTATTCCAAAGGTTGTCCCCCATTTTCCTCCTTTTCCGTCCAGCTGAGTAACTCCAGAGCAATTGTTTGAGATAAATTACTCCGTGCACCTGATGACAAACTAAACAAGACCCCTCGGACTAAACTCCAGAAGATGGGGAAGGTTTTCGTTATATAGAGTATTTTAACAATTTAAAAATGTTTGCAAAAAACTGTCAATTTATAAATAAAGAATAGAAAAATAAATATACAATTATATTAATAAACCAGCATACATATAAACCAGAAAGATCACAAGATGTAAAATAATTTAGATTACGCTGAGTTAAGAAGAAATTCTTTGCATAAATACGTTCCTATTATATTTTAAATTTAAACTATATTCTGAATATTTCAAAACACAATATAAAGTGTATTTAAACTTTCGACTTCTGAAATCGATGAACCTGTGCTCTGTTTATTTCTTGTATTTGTGTTCCCTTCTATGGCCGCATTTATTGTCATTATTATTTTGATACCTTTTTTAAATTTTCTGTTGTTGTCTGCACAGTTTTCCTGCTATCTGCCGGTAGATTTATGCCAACAAAAGCCAACAATAAAAAATATATATACACACTTTTCTTTTGCTTTTAATTTTGTTTCTTTCTGGCGCTGTCCAGTCGGAGCTTCGGACAGCTGCATTAAAAAGTTGCCAAAGAAAACAGTTTGCATTGCAATTTTTCCTTGCTTTTATTTTTCAGCTCTCCTTCTTTCGTTTGTTGTTTTCGTTATATTTCTTTTTAGCTATCAACATTGTGCAAAAGAATACAAAATAGGAAAAAACTAAATAGAAATAGATATATATGCATGTTTTTATTTTATATTTTTTTGTGTGTGTACATTAGGAGTGACCAGGGCCCACAAAAGGTTGTCCGGTCTGTTGCAACTCGGTTAAGCCCTGCCAGCATCCAGCATCCAACTTTCAACTTTCAACTGGGTCATTGTTGTCCTCCCTGGCTTACCGACTCGAGCAGAAATAATGCCAAATCTGAATGCTGCGAATTCAATTTGATGGTGTATAAAAAATATATATTCAGAAAATAGAACAATCGAAAGTAGTTTAAGCTTGTATGTGAGCTTAAGCAAAGTAAGCTACAGAATATATACTTTGAAGCTGTGATTGATAAATGTATCTTTCTGGAGCAGGAAATCTTTTTATTGGATTTAAATTGAAAGAGAGAATGTTTAATACCAAATGAGATTATATATATTGTATTCTATTATTTTATTTTCCAAATAATTTGAATAATCATTTTACAAGAGTACCAAAAAATCACTGTCGACTTTACCTTACCAAAGCTCTTTAAGTTCGTTAAAATACCCTATAACCTTTGCTGTACCGCACACACCTGACAGGTAACCCTTGGAGCAACTGCCCACAACTCATCCCTCTTTGTTTGTTAATTTCTTTTATAATTTTTGCAATTTTCTTTCTCTCTCCCCTCACTCAGTCCGGTGCATTTCTGGTGTCCCTTCGCCGATTTTTGCTTTGTTGTTTCGTTTCGTTTCCGTTCCAGGTTTTCAGAACTTAATTAAATGTTGTCACAGCGCACACTTTGTAGTCCCAGTGCCAGGACCTCTGCCCCTATGCCACCATTTACTCCCTCGTCCTGTCCTGGGGGTAGAGGAGCGGTCCGGTCCGCTCCATTGGCAGCGTTGGCTGTTTGTGACAGCAATTCGAAGTGTAAATGAAATAATAGCTGCTAAAAACCAATTTGGCGTAAATTATAAAAGCTTAATGGGCTTTGTAAGCGGGGCTGCCCCTGCCTCGTTGAGCAACCTTTGACTAACAATTTATTTACTTGTTCTCTTGCAGTTCGGTGGAGCTGATAGCCCTGCTGGCTATTTCGTGCACCTTCTTCCTGTTCATGCACACGAACAAGCTGAACAGCCGCCTCAAGGAAATGGAGGTGAAGCTGCAGCCGTCCGAGTTTTCGGCCCTCGGACTGACCGGCAATCACATCAGCGGACACGATGCGGGCAGTAAGTCACTATATCCCCCAGATACTCCCCAGATACTGCCATCATACTCAGATACAGCCATCGCATAGATGTACATACACATCTCGCACCTGAGAGGAGCCTCATTTCCATCTCGCAACAACGAACACAAGGCCAGATTGTGGGCCAGAATTTGCGCTCGATTGCATTCGCGTTGCGTATCGGAATAAGGCATCGCATTTGGACAGGAAACTTAGCAAAGACCAAGTGGTAGATAGGACTCGACTAGGGGTTATCTAGGGGACTTAGATCTGTCTTTAAATCTTTCAAGAAATTCGAAGAAGATAGTATAATATTCACGAGAAATGGCTACATGGAAAGTCAGAGCTTGATCGAAAATTATGGTTCTTTTAAATTTCTATATTTTTAAAGAAGCTAACAAACTAATCCTTGTATATTGTTTATTTTAAAGAAGCTAAAAAAATTATAATTTTTTTATTGTTCTTTCTAAAAAATATAAATATAATTTATGGGAAAATGTAACCGCAGGTGAAACTAAAATTAACCGAATGATAAATGTGTCTAACCCACCCTTCCCAATAAGTGTGATACCGCGTTTGAAAGTTGGCTACGCCCAATTGATTTTTAATTACCACATTGACCTGAACCTCAAGCCTCGGAAAAAATAAAAGAAGAGGCAGATAAAAAAGCGAACAGCCTCCCCGATGAGGCCTTTGTTAATAATTTCCGTTGGCGTTGCCATAAAATAGCTGATCGTTTTAAGCCAAATTAGTGCACATTGCTTTTCGCATGAATAAATGATGGCAGTTTCTAGGGAAGGTCCTAAAAGTAAATATAAATACGAGTATGCACATTTATTTTCGCTTTTGGAATAGCACTAATAAACTGGCAAATTAAAATCAACATAATATATGGTCGATGCATCCATAGATTGTTGCTGCGGCGCGCTTTTTAATTACAATATGCATGTGTTTACATATTAAGCATATCTCTGCACACAGTCTTTTTTTATTTTGTTTTTGTCAATATTTTAGTGCATTAATAAATTATTTAGGAGCGACAGGTCCGCGGGGCACAAAGGTTAGAGGGCATTATCGGCGTGACTGGGAATTAAACCTTTTGACATTGCCATAGGCGCACTTCTTTTTTGTGGTTGTGCTTAATAATGCAGCATATTGATTATTATATTATTAATTTAATTAGTAAACATGGCAAAAATTATGAAAACTCCAAAAGAAATCGGGGTATTAATTGGCGTTGAATATAAAATTAACTTGGTTGTAGTCTACATATTTTTATTGAAAGAGGAGAAAAAGAATTGCTAATAGCATTTAACAGCATTTAAATTTCATTTTCAATATTACATTTTAAGAAGAAAATAAAATATATGCAAAAATTAGCTTGCATTGAGTGTGACATTTTGATTATAGATTGTTTAGAAACGCTGCTCTTTGTTTAAAATTCCCTTTAAGTATTTGAAATACTCCCATTAAGATCACATTACCAGAGACCGCAAAAGCCGCCACTTGACACCTTTTCCCTCACAATAATGTTTGTCGAACGCACTCGAAATTCCAGTGGACACCAAACCAAAATCCAAACCGCACTCGAGTGCACAAACAATAATAAAAAATGCCCTAAAAAGAGCATACATAATTTGCTGCCAAACGAAAACGAGCGTTTTCTGGAGCGTCACTTGAGATTCTGCCATTTAGTAGTCGTCAGCATGAAAGCCCGAATTGGGCTACTTACTAATAACGCTGCCGTCATTAGGCAACAGCGGAAAATCCAAAATCGAATCAAAACCCTCTCTGGAAATGCAAACCCTAATTTCCATGCCGGAAGTTTTGCGGCCTGCCCGGGCCGTGCCATTCCACTTGCAAATTAGGCAAAAGTTGCCCCAACAGCAGCAGCAGCAGCAGCACAGCTGTGCCACCAAGTGATCTCCACTTGGCTGCTTTTCTTCGCCAGGGGAAAACCGTGAGCCCAGGGGGCCGAGGAGCGGGAAAACAGAAGATTTCACGCCTTACTGCGGTGATTGCCAAACAACAACAACGCCAGTCAGCTGACGCCAGTTTGTTTGGTGGTTATAGTAAAAGAAAGAAAGCCTCTCTTTGGGTCGCGAAAATAAAATACTCTAAGACACAAGTGAATCATGAAGCTATTCGAATTCGAATTAGTTTCTTTAAGGTTTTAAATTTGTTTTTTAATATAAATAGATTTTTATATTTGTTTATTTGTTTAATGACTAACAAATATATATAACGTAGATCATACATTATATTGTTTAAAAGATTAACAGAAAGATTACTTCAATTGTTGATGCACCTGTCTATGTAACTCCTGCATTATTCCTCCTCTGAAGTACGCGTATAAGAACTTGAACAAAGAAAAACCACAAATTTGAATTATAATTTATTTTTAATAGGAATTGTGTGAAATCCAAACACTTATAAATAATTGTAAACAAATTATCTTTGCATTTCAACGTACTTAATTTAGTAATTTAGTAGTTTTCAAGATGAACTCACACATTAAATTGTTTGAAGCCGTTTTAGCCCAGAAACATGTTAAAGATCATTACACCCTCTATTTAATGTTTAACTTATATTTTATTCCTTGTTAATGGTGATGATTAGATTCCATTTCAATTATATAAGAAGCATCTATTAAACTTTTAAGTAAAACTAAAATCGTATTCATTTTAAGTTGTATATTAAATTAATATAAATGGAATAATTGTGTTGTTTTAGAATCCTTATTCAATGAACCTAAGATATATGTTAAAATATTTGTAGTCAGCTTTTTTAATGAATGTTTAAACTTTCAATAATGCCTAATCCCAATTAAAGTCAATTTGAAAAGGGGTAAGAAAAAAGGGTAAAATTCCGTTACCAAGTCGATTTTACACTTTGCAGTGAGTAATGATGATGGTAATGATGATGTGGAAGCGGATAAAGTCGGGGCAGATGCACCGTAGAGTCCAGAGTGCACTTGTGCGCCGTGTTTGCCACACAGCTGGTGGCATCTTCATTGTTGCCGCTCTTGCATTTGCGTCTGCGCACGCGTCAATTGCCGACAGTTACAAATTGTACCCGGTTAGCCCCTCTCCACGACTCCCAAAGACAAAAAAAACCGGCTAATGCCAAATGTACCTACAAAAAAAGTAAGAAAGAAAGAAAATATTTGAGGAAAAACACATTTAAAGAAGGGAATGCATTTTTTTCTCCTGGCAAAAGACAAAACGAAATAAACAGTGTGAAATTCATCAAAAGGTTCGCCTTAAGCTACTCGTTCATGCATCCATTCATAAATATTTCATTTAATTGACTCACACGACTCGGGGTCGAGTACGAGATAAAGATACGATTATGACGACGTACTCAACATGCTCGTTTAAGCCATCATGATGATGATGACACCGTTTGTTGGCCGTTGTCGGTTTTTGGTCTGACTGTTTTTTGTTTTGTTTTTGTATTTTATTTTTATATATGTGACGTACACACATGTATTTGTCTGGCAACATTGAACTTGACTTAAGTTAATTAACGGCGCTGAACGTTGCAAGCCAACTTGGCTGGTGGTTGGTTGATTTCGTGGTCTAATGAGCAAGTGGAAATGTGCAGAGAAAGGCTTGGGGCCTCAGATCTCTTATGTTAATTTCTCGAATGGAGAAAAATTTAGCAAGTGGGGTAACCAAAGAATTAATTATTGAATTTAACCTAGTTTTTATAGCGAATCCTCAAATTCATCCAAAGATATGGATATGGTTTTAAGATACTTTATGCTTGGATAAATTGCTGACACTAATTAATATTAACTGGCCCCTGTTTTAGCGGTTTCTATACATGATCTGAATTGTTTCTAATTTATTCATTTAAAAATTTAATTATTTTGTTTAAATTATTCCTTTTTAAGCTAAAAAGCTTTGCCGATTATGAAAGTTCTCTTAAAAAGAAATCTAACAACTTTTATAAATAGGAATAGCAAAGATGAATGCCGGAAAATAAGTGAAATAAAGAAAGATTTTCTGATATTTGAATTGATTGGTTCAATCTAGTAAAAATAACTCAAATGTTGTTTATGAAAACTATGCCAGATAAGTTGTATTATCTGCTTAAAAAAACTAAAATAATAAGGGTTCCTGTATAGACAAAGCATTTTAAAGAAACAAATGACATTCAGACACTTCTAAATGTGAATTTATATCCCACAATTTCCCAAATAATATTATTTAAACCTCTATAGTTTTTTCGCAAATCTTTCAAGAACTATCCCATGTCATTGTGCCAACCCTCGTCGTAATAGATCAACCATCTTAAGAACCTTTCGGCACTCCACCCTGTCAGAAGCCATTGTCTCTCAAGTTAAAATACAAAGCCGACAATTGCCTGCACCTTTAACTGGAACAGCGAAAAAACAAAAATCTTTGAGAAAATGTAGCAATGCCAACTTTGCCCCTGGCTGAAATGCATTGCAAACCAGTTTTTCGCGCTCACTACCGAGCCGGGCAGCTTTATTTTCAATTAGACAGCCACATAGACACGAACTCAGACACGGACCCAAACACCCATAAAAATAGCACCAACAGCAATAGCAGTACCTATACTTACACCGAAAATAATAGTCTTTAAATGGCAGTCAAGAAATTGTTAAAGCTTACCAAATACCAAGAACCAAATCCATATATCTCAACTCTATGTGCTACTTAAACTTTGATTGCTGAAACGAATGTTAATATTTGAAGAGGCAGACCAATCGAATTTTAAATTATCTTCTTAACGTCTAAAAATTAAGGTTAAATATTACATTTTTCCAAGTGCAGCTAGTTCGTTAGCTGGCCAAACTAAGTGTTTCGGAGTTGAGGTCCAATTCGCTTGGAAAATGCAAGTAAGCAAGCAATTTGTGTTAGCAGAGGCGGTACCAAGGGGCTCGGATAATGTTAGAGTCAGATCTTGAGATAGGGCGGGAAAGAGAGATTGAGAAGTGAAACATAACATTAAACTAATGAACAAGGTTTTGGGTGGGTCTGTCTCAGAATTCCAACTTAAATCGAAGCAATTGAAGGTTATTGTTTGATGCGGAATAAGGAAGAAAGCAGGTTGAAAATTAAAGCATTCATTAAAGACTTCAGTTTTATATTTAAGCTACTATGCCAGATATATACTCAAGTCCCAAAGAAATGGCTGTAAAACTGTTTAAAGTTTGCCATAAAATGTTAATTAGTATTAATAAAAAAAACAACCTTTCCTCCCATTTAATATTTCACTAGTTTACTTGAGTCACCTCTTTCCTTTTACAATTTTCAACCAAAAACACTGACCAAGCCCCGCCACAGAATAAATACACCTAGGTATTCATGGGTGGCTCATATTCTATTGACTGCAACATGTGTTATGTCGTTCACCTTCAACACAGATGACAGTTCAAATGGCCAATAACCGGAGCTAGGCTATGGCTATATTGAAGGTCGCCATAGCACAACGCAGAGAAAACCAAAAGCCAAAACCCAATCAGAGTAACATAGTACTGCAATTGGGATGTGACCCAATTTCGAAACCACACAAACCCAAAAAATAAAAGAATCAAGTTAAAAAGTGACAAATAAAAGAGAAGTGCTGGAGAGCAGGCTTCTATTTTAAGGTTTCGACCGCAAAATGTATTTCACTCTTGGTTCAGTGACTTTGTGTCGGTGGTTTTTGAGCAGAAACTCGGCGAAAACCAGTTGGGGCAACACTTTCATTCACATTTTCCAGCGAACTGTCCAATTGACCAAATACAACGGATCTGGTTTAAAGGCAATCGGACTGGATATGCGTCGATTTACAGACTTCCTTGTGTACAGTTTGGCATCGAATTATGAAATACTTGGCCATAAAAATCGAAGCCAAGACAAAAGTGGCCTACACTGTACACTTGAAAATCAAGATGTTTTTCCGCATCTCTCCGCCTCGAACTGCTGATCAATGGCAGTCATTTGCCAGTGGGCACTAAACTCTGGCTGGACAAATGCCTGGCATCAGGATTTTAATTGACCACAAGACACGCAGAAATATCCATTTGCATGCGTTGGCTTTGAAATCTCGGCGGAGGGAGAGAGATACCTTTCGAAACCCATCGAGGATGATCCCTATCGCATCCGAAGTGAGCCGGAAAAGTGAAAGGAGTCATCATGAGCTTGCATATTTATTGCACTCGTCTTTATTTATTTATCATAGCTGTAAATGGCCTCAACTTCGCCTTCGTCTTTCGAATATTGCATAAACACTTTTGGGCTCAAGTGAAAAGTAAAAGTGTTTCGGGTTGCTTCCTTTTTTGGCGTCAGTTTTTAAGGTCATCGAAATAATTCAATCTAATTGGGGTCGAGATAGCTGATATTTGAAACAAAGTAGATTAAGATGAGATAATAGTGGGGTGTCTTCGGGGAAATGATTTATTTACTATGAAACTCTGCTTTCTATTATAGTATATGTCCCTTAACCCACCTTTGCTAACAATTTCAGAGCACGATGACATCAACACTCTGCACGGCACCTACCAATATCTGAAGAGTACCGGACAGGTAAGCTCGAGTTCCATAAATCTGATATACCTTGCATTTTGCCATCTCGTCGTAAACATTGTTGCATACATTTCTGGTGGCTCATAAAGCAGAAAAATAAAAGAAACCATCAAAAGCGACCGACATGTGGAAAGGTAGCTTCAGCTCCTTGGTGTTTGATACTGCATTTAGCCTGTAGCTTACAGCATATAGCATTATATAGCATATATAGCATTTTGCCTGCCCTAAAATCTCACCCATTCTGTCTCTCTCCGTCTCGCATTCATTGTGTCAAGCGTGGACTCTCATAAATATCTGTAGCATTCTCCTCCCGAGACCTCACACACATACAACACAAACAACACTCCCTCGCCAAACACACACTAGAAATATGCAGTTTAGTCCTCTGGTAGTCTCTTAGCTATCCCTATACCTATATACTATTCTATACCGACTCTGACTAGCTAGCTCTCCTACACTATCCCTCCTTACACTAACCAAACTACGAAAACTATAAAGACACTTCGACTCTGTCTTGGAATTTTGTTAGCTCAGTTCGAAAGGCGGCATTTTTTGGGTCGTTAGTTAGTTTGCGACATAGACGCGATAGAAAATCGATTTATAAAGATTAAATAGCAAAGGTAAGTGTCCGTTATGGGGAGGATTATTATTTATGCCCACGTACTCCAGCTGCGAGAGTTACGTTCAAATCTTTGCGAAATTCCTTAAGAGATGGGACGCCTCCAGGTGCCTTCTTTGTTGCTTCCACAAAATAAAAAAAATTAAATCGCCAAACCGCTTAAAGTCCACTCGTCTTTTACAAAACTTTATACTATATGTTGTTGTCCTACTTGTGTTTGACTCGTTTATGTACGTGTGCTCTCTGTGCTCTCCGCCACCACCAATGGTAGAAACCTGCAAGCTGAAAACTACTCCAACTAGCACTCCCAACTTTTGCAATCCGGCAGCTAACCCACCTGACCGCCGCTCAGCTGAACAACACCCCGCGGGCCCAGCTGGAGACGGTGTTCTTCAATCGCGTCACCAAGACCGGCAGCGAGAAGATGATGGAGTTGCTCAAGATCCTGGCCGTGAGAAATAATTTCGAGGCTCGCCGCGATGTCGAAGGACTCTACGAGGTGGTCATTATGCACAACGCCTACGCCAAGAACTTCATTCACACCGACATCCTGAATAGCACCATGGCCAACACATACACCAAGCACGTGGCCTTTATAGACTTTGCCCTGCTGGACGAACCCTGGCCCATATACTTTAATATGGTTCGCGATCCCATTGAGCGACTTGTCAGTTGGTTTTACTATGCCCGCGCTCCTTGGTACCTGGCCGAGAGGCGGGAGACCTTCGGGAGGCCGTACAAATGCCCAGTATCGAGTGGCTCAAGAAGGACTTTAATCGCTGCATCGAGGAGCAGGATCCCGAGTGTGTCTATGAGCAAATGGAAATGGGTAACCTGGGTGATCACAGGCGGCAGTCACTGTACTTCTGTGGTCAGGTCATGGAGGTGTGCATGTGAGTAAAGCTGTGCCAGAGGTTGATGGGATCTAGCTAAGGGTGGGGCTGTTCAATTAGGGATAAAAAACTTACCAATCAGGAAATTTAAAAAATATAAAAAATTGTTCTTTTGACAATGAATTTGTTGACTCTTCAACTCTCTTCAACATAAAACGTGTATTTCCCTTGTGGAACTCAAAATATTAAATCAAAGTATCCATTCTTTTTCCAAGCCCAAAAATGCACTTCAAATTCATAAAGATTATCTAGAGTTTGTCGGTAATGCTATCGACTTAAGAGCAACCCCACCTTGGCTGATTTTCCACCAAAGTTAAGGCAAGGAAGGAAATGAAACCCACTTATCCTTAGGCCATTCAATTCCCACGAGGCCATGCAGCGGGCCAAGAAGAATGTGGAGGAGCACTACGCAGTGGTTGGAACCTGGGAGGATACGAATATCACCCTATCCGTTTTAGAGGGCTATATACCACGCTTCTTTGCCGGGGCCAAGGAGGAGTATTACATTTTGAGGAGCAAGTTGGGAGATGTCAATCGGAATGCCTTTAGGCCCACTCTCAGTGACAAGGCGAGGGCCCTGCTAAGCCGAAACCTCACACGAGAGATCGAGTTCTATCAGTTTACCAGGCATCGATTGTACAAACAGTATATAGCGCTTCAACTGGATGCTAATCCCAAGCTGAGGCTATAGTCGAGAAATAAAACTATGCTAATTTTCGTTATCCTTCCGTAATCTTTTCCGGTTTAATTCTAACTACAGCTTGGTGGACTTTTTTGATTGCAAGCTTGGGTAGGATAATGCTCAGATTTAGTCTTATGTCGCACATATCGTCTATGCAGCGTATTGGATATAATGTTCACGCTCGTCGGAGCAGCGAGGAGGAGTATGCCGATTCCGGCAACCATGGGCATCACCACGATCACCACTCGCACCACCATCATGTGCACCACCAGGCAAAGGTCGGTGATCCTGATCACAAGGCAGCACATGACAAGCAACTGGCTATACCCGAAAGTGGGCACAAAGCGGATAAAGATATTTTCGAGGACGACGAGGACGATGAAGAGGACGACGACGATGACTTGGCCGATGGGGTGGCAACCCAAGGTGACGATAGCTTTAATTTCGAAGCCGATCTCCTGAACAACACCAAGTTTGCCGAGTCGGACTTTGTGTTCTTCAACAGAGTTCCAAAGGTGGGAAGTCAATCCCTGATGGAGCTGATGGCCCGTTTGGGCAAAATCAATGGATTTAACCACGCTCGCAATAAGGGCGGTGCCCACGAAACGGTCCTCATGAACAAACAGCGCCAGGGTGAACTGGTTGCCGAACTCCTGACCCGGCCAAAGCCGCATGTTTATAGCCAGCACATAGCCTACATTAACTTCACTCGCTTCCACCTGCCGAAGCCGATATATATTAATTTGGTCCGTGATCCCATCGACCGCATCATCAGCTGGCACTACTATATCCGCGCTCCCTGGTATTATCGGGACATGCAGGCCAAGCTGGGTGACAAGGCACCGGCCATGCCCTCGGATGAGTTCCTTAACCTCGACCTGGACACCTGTGTGAAGAACCACGATCCGCACTGCACCTTTACCCAGGATCAGATCAAGAACCCAGTGGGCGATCATCGCCGGCAAACGCTCTTCTTCTGCGGCATGAATCAGAAGCTGTGCATGTAAGTAGGAAGCCGACAGGGACCTTAACCAGCTCATCAACGCCACCCACTCCTCCATAGGCCCTTTAACTCGGAGGCTGCCATGCAAAAGGCCAAGCGAACGGTGGAGTCGGAATACGCAGTGGTGGGGACCTGGGAGGATACCAATATTACGCTAACCGTTCTGGAGGCCTACATACCGCGTTTCTTCCGCAACGCCAAGGTTGCCTACTACCGTAAGAAACTGAATGCGATCTCAAGCTGAGGGTAGTCTCAATCATTGTCATATTTACAGTGGGCAAGGAACGTTTGTCAAAAGTGAATCGCAATAATGTCACTCGAATTGTTAGCGAGGAAACTCGCGTTATTCTGAGGAAGAATCTCACCAACGAGATTGAGTTTTACGAGTTCTGCAAGCAACGTTTGTATCTGCAATACGCCGCCTTGAGTCATGGCAAGAGATTCGGGGAAGATGACTATCTTTTGGTGCCAGAACAGAAAAACGATTACAACGAGGAGTATTAGCAGGGATCCATTGCCACAGAAACAAACTCATTTAGTGCTAAGAAAGTGTGAAATGTAACTCAACTCAGGGTGCCACATAAACCTAATTTTACTTAATGCTAATGAACTTTTAATTTAATCATCCCAATCTATAGGAGCGATTCTGATTCGAAATTTAGATAGAAACACCAGACCAGTTTTTGATTCCTATAGCCTCCGATATACCCTGTATTCGTTTGCTTTCTGTTTATCCCGTACCTCGCCTAGAGCTTTCTGTGTGTATCTGCATCTGTACCGATATCTGTGCGTCTGTCTGTGATTCGATCTCCTTCTTACACCTGTGTCCTGACCTTTGCAGCTGTGGCGCTTGAATCCCAAGTTCCTCAACAACACCAAGTTCCACTCTCGTGATATAGTCTTTTACAACCGAGTGCCCAAGACGGGAAGCGAGACTCTGATCGAGTTAATGATACGTCTGGGCGAAAGAAACGACTATCAGAACGAGCGGGCGCCGTTCTCAAAGCCCGTTGGAATTTACTGGTCCGTGGAGCGTCAGAAATCAGAGGCCCAACGAATTTTTGATCTGCAGGAGGATTCTGCATTCGTCTATGTGGAGCACATGAACTACATGAACCTTAGGCCACTCCATTTCCCCCAGCCCATCTTCATTAACTTGGTAGGAACAATTATATGCACTTCTGAGGTTCCCCCCTATTAAACCGTACATTTATCAGATACGCGACCCCATCGAAAGAGTTATCAGTTGGTTCTACTATAAACGCACCCCCTGGAACTCTGTGAAAATGTTTGAAGTCACCGGAAAGTTTCAGAATCGTTCGCATTATGTCAAAAACTTTGAGGATTGTGTGCTCATGCACGATCCGGAATGTCGTTACGATTTCGGTCTCAAGTTCAAAGAAGATTCCGCAGATCACAAACGGCAGAGTTTGTTCTTCTGTGGTCACTCTCCCATTTGCGAGTATGTTCTTAGTTCGATATTCCCATAGTTTCGTTAACTTTAAAGTTTCCCCCAGGCCATTTAATACGCCAGGAGCAATAGCCAGGGCCAAACAGAATGTGGAGCGAGATTACTCCGTAATTGGTTCCTGGGAGGATGTTAATGTGACTTTGACTGTGCTAGAGCACTACATACCTCGTTTCTTCAAGGGCAGCACTGATGTGTACTATGGTAAACCCAAATTTAAATAAAGCAACTTAGGGGATAAGAAGATATAATTCCCATCTTTCCGTAGAACCCATCAAGGGCCTGGCTTTTAAGAAGCAAAATACAAACCACTGGAAGCCCAAGATTAGCGAACGCATCAAGCAAATAATGCGAGCCAATTTCACTCAGGAATATGAGTTTTATCACTTTTGTAAACAGCGCCTGTATAGACAATATTTTGCAATAAACAGACACTTGCATGTCTAAGGACCCAAGAAAGTTTCTCTTTCTTTTCCACTAATTACTTCCTCGTAATCCTGTATTTAGTTTTCGGTGTCGAGTATTTTGAATGTTGTGTGAGGAGAGGAGACTCATCTATCTGCACACTTTTAAGCTGGAATCTTTGGATGCCGCCCAACTGAATAATACCCCCAAAGCTGAGAGGGACTTCATCTTCTACAATCGTCTGGAGAAAACGGGCAGTCAGTCGATGACGCGACTCCTAAGTCGTCTGGGCGATGAAAACGGATTTGATACATTTCGGAATCTAGTAAGAGTCGCGAAGCCAAATATACATACTGAAGAGGATGAAGAGGATCTGGTGGAACAGCTGTCCCAGCTCCCAACTCCCGGCGTCTACGTGGAGCACTCTAACTGGATCAACTTTACCAAGCATGACAGTCCACGTCCAATCTACATCAACATGGTGCGCGATCCCATTCAAAAGGTGATCAGTGCGTACTATTACCAGCGTCACCCACTGATCTTTGCCCAGAGTCTGATGCGTAATCCCAATAAAAGGGTACAGACCAAGAAGTATTTTGATACCACCTTTAACGAGTGTGTTAAACAGCGGATAGCCCCTCATTGCGTCTTCGATTCCCACAATCCCTTCAACGGCGATTGGCGGAGGCTTTCACTTCACCTCTGCGGAAATTCGGAAATTTGCACGTAGGTCTTTACGAAGTACACAGAAAATGTGAAAACCCAAGCAAGTACAAACGGGATTGTTGTTTGAGCTAGAAGAAGGGATTTCTTAACTCTTTGTTGCTCATTAATTAAAGTCAGGTTATTCAAGTATAACGAAAACCAATTCAAATGAAGTTAAATTCCAATCCCTTTAGTACTCGGCTTTGTGAATAAACAGTTTCGTTGAGCTTCAGTGAGTAAATGAGACTTTGAATACTCTTACGTAGACATTTCAACTCTGAAGTCACTATGCAATTAACCAAGATGAAAGTGGAACGCGAATACGCAGTGGTGGGCAGTTGGGAGGATACGAATGTGACCTTAGCCGTTTTAGAGGCATACATACCCAAGTTCTTTGCCAACGCCAGGACGGTCTACTACAGTAGGTTTACGCCATAATTTATCCATAATTGATCAGTATCTCACTCAGATATTTCCCTGAACATTTTCTACCTAGGCGAAATGCAAAGTTTCAAATAAACACTGTGTCGCATGACAAACATCTGGATGCCGATGTGGAAGCGTATCTGAGAAACAGTTTCTCCTGCGAAATTGAGCTGTATCTGTTTATTAAGCAACGACTCTACAAGCAGTACATTGCTGTCCATAAGGATGAATTTCCCACAGCTTAGATATACATATCAAATAATAAAGATTTTACCAAGACCAAATAGTTTAACCAATGATTTTACATCCAAATTTCAAACCGAGTCTTTCTTCTCCTTTCGCTACTAATCATTTTTGGATATCCTGCTTGAATTCACTCTCCGCCGCACTACCCATACAAGAAACCAACTCAAGGGTATATGAAACCTTTGCAGATCCTCCAACTTAGTGCTGCGAAACTGAACAATACCCCCAAAGCGGAAATTGATGTGTTGTTTTTCAATCGGGTTCCAAAGACCGGCAGTATGCAGCTAATTGAGCTGATGAGACAGCTGGGTAAAATCCACGATTATGAGGTGGAAAAAGATCCTCAGAATGGAGGTGTCGTTCCCCTGTTAGAACCCGCCGCGGAAAGCGACATGATCGATAATATTGCCAACCTACAAGATGGTACAGTATTCGCCAGTCACGTTAATTACCTGAACTTCACCAAGTATGAGCAACCGAGGCCCATTTACATAAACATGGTCCGGGATCCAGTGGAGAGGGTCATTAGTTGGTATTACTACATTCGGGCTCCGTGGGTCTTTGTGCCCGGAAGGCGGAAGAATAACCGCGAAATGCCAAATCCCAAATGGGTTAACACCGAGTATGATCAGTGCGTGGAAAGTGGCGAGAAAGTCTGCACCTACATTGAGAATTCCCTGTTGGAACATGTGGGCGACCATCGGCGACAGACCTTGTTCTTCTGCGGTCACAATGAGTTCAAGTGCACGTGAGTTAGGTAGTTTTATCCCGATTTCTGTCATCCCTTGAAACCGTTCCGTAGGCCCTTTAATGCTCGTCTGCCCCTGCAATTGGCCAAAATGAATGTGGAGCGAGAGTACGCTGTGGTGGGAACTTGGGAGCACACAAATGAAACCCTGGCTGTTCTGGAGGCCTACATACCTCGCTATTTTGCAAATGCCTCCAAGATGTATTACTGTAAGTTTCGTTGAGGCCAACTCTGAAGAAGGAATGTTTTCAAAATCAAAAGTAGCTTTGCAATTCAAACGGATACTCTATACCAGAGACCAAAGATTATGATAAAGTTCTTTTAGTTCTATGGCACGAAAGTATATTAATATTTATTACCTTTGCAGATAATAGTATCTGATTCTATTCCAATTGATTTTTGAATGAATTCGTTCTTCAGAGTTTAGAGTCAGTAAAAAGCTTAGTTACTTAGGAACACATTTTTCACAGCGGGTCTACACGCCGATCGTCAGAATACCAATCCCATGAAGCCGCATATTTCGCAGCATATAATCGATATGGTTCGTCGAAACTTTACACGGGAAATAGAATTCTATCAATTCTGTCGTCAGCACCTACATAAACAGTATCTAGCCCTTAAGCTGAATGATCTCAAGAAGTTTGACAAGGGTCTGTCCAGATTAAGTGAGGCCAACGAAATGGCCATAGGAAACTAATTTTATAAAATAATTTATTCATAAATATATTAATAAAGAAAAGGGAATGATATAAGCATTCTCTCGAGGGGATAAAAAACTGAACACTTTTTCACAAATTGAGAAATTGAACTAATTATATCCTGTGGTACGATATAATTTCTACTAACTAAGGGTATGTAAATATCCTATATTTTCTGCTCTCTTAAACATCTTTTAAAGATCTGCTTTAAATTGAATGAAGAACTTAAAACTATTGCTTTATAAACAAAATAAGGAAAAACGTCTATCGCTTCTCTCCCTGACCTTCGCAGCACTACGAAATATTGTTTAGGGTTTTAACTATCGCTTAATAATCCGAGAAAAGGCAGGCATTTAATTTATTGCTTAATAACAAAAGGAAAACATTTAGGGGAATTCGTAAGCATACTCACCGGACCTTGAGTACGATCGTTCATCTTGTTAAACTCACCTTCAGCTTCACCTACTGAGCGCAAGTCGCCTGAACAACACTAAGAATGCAGACATCGAAGTGTTGTTCTTTAATCGAGCCGCCAAAGTCGGAAGTGAGTCAATGCTGGAACTTTTCATAGCCCTGGAAAAGTACCACGAGGACCTTACCCTGGACCGACACGGTTTGCACACTCGCACCGTTCGCCAAATGGATAAACCTACGAGGCGCGAGTCCGCGGAATACATCGCCGACCTGGAGGATGGAACCATGTACATAGAACACATCAATTGGTTGAACTTTGACGAATTCGATTTGCCCAAGCCCATATATATAAATCTGGTCCGTGACCCGGTGGAACGGGTCATAAGCTGGTACTTCTACGCACGAGGTGCCTACAAAAATGCCATCGAATATAAAAAAAAACCGGACCAAAAATTAAGGCCAGAGTCCTGGTATAAAAAGAATTTCAATGACTGCGTTCGGAGCGGAGATCCGGAGTGCCAGTATGTGCCGCATACTGTCAAGGACCCGGTGGGGAATTTCAAAAGGCAGTCGTTGTTTTATTGTGGTCACCACGATGATTGTATGTAAGTAGATAGGACATTCGTGATTAAATGCTTCCGGAGACAAGAAGTTAGCTAACACGATATTTTAGACCCTTCAACTCGCCAACTGCTGTGCAAATGGCCAAGGAGCACGTGGAACGCGATTACGCAGTGGTCGGAAGTTGGGAGGATACCAATGTCACCCTAACCGTACTTGAGAACTATATACCACGATTCTTTCGCGGTGCCAAGCTGATGTATGAAAGTAGGTCCACAAAATGCATAGCACCAAAGATAATATTACTTATTTACATATAAACCCCATCTCGAAACAGTGAACAATGACAAGATCACCAATCGGAACAAGAACAAGCGAAAGCCTTATATTGATCCCGAGGTAAAGGCGATGATTCGCAAGAACTTCACCAACGAGTACGAGTTTTATTATTTCTGCAAACAGCGCTTGTACAAGCAGTATCTGGCCTTAAATCTCAAAGAGTTGGAGAAGCATGGACTTTTGTATTAGTTGGGTTAGAGCCCTAAGTTTATTTAGATTGTAGTCGGTGATATATTATGCGAACAAAACATACTCTTTCAATAAATAGAACCCAGTAAATCAGTAAATTAGTAGACTAGACTAGACACACTATCCGTACTCGTACACGTTGAACCCATCTCAGTGTCTCATTGTTCGCTACCCTCCCATGAAGCTTCTAAACCCTTGCCCTATCCCCCAATCAGTTAGGTGACCTAACACCCCGTCACTTAAACAACACAGCCAAGGCCGAAATGGATCGTCTCTTTTTCGCGAGATGCGCCAAGGTGGGCAGCGAGTCGCTAATGGAGTTCATGGAGCATCTGCAGGATATCAACAACTTCCGCGTGGATAAGTACGGAGTGAATAAAAAGTCAAAGAGGCAACTGAAGCCCCTGGCTCAGGCGGAGGTCGCTGGCTACGTATATAACCTGGATGAGGGATCCGTATACATAGAACACATCCCTTGGATCGACTTCAACGAGTATAACCTGCCCAAGCCGATCTTCATTAACCTGGTTCGAGATCCTGTGGAACGCATGATCAGCTGGTATTACTACGTCCGCAACTCATATAGGAATGCGATATTCTACCGAAATCATCCGTTGGCCCCGCTAAAGCCCACGGCCTGGTTCAAGAAGAGCTACAACGACTGTGTGAGGAGTGGGGACCCCGAATGTCAGTATGTGCCATTGGCAGTTGCCGATGCAGAGGGCAACTTTAAAAGGCAATCTTTATTCTTCTGTGGCCACAGTCAGGACTGCTTGTGAGTGCTGGTAGGGGGGCTAAGTTATGAGAAGTGTTTGCCTAACCCAAAACCTCTTTCAGGCCCTTCAACTCCCCTCTGGCTGTTCAGATGGCCAAACGTAGGGTTGAATCGGAATTTGCAGTAGTGGGAACTTGGGAGGAGACCAACATAACTCTGACCGTTCTAGAGCACTATATACCTCGTTATTTTGCTAGAGCTAAGATCATCTTCCACAGTAAGAATATCATACAGAGATATATCATAAAGTTAGCTCACACAAGTTCCGTTTCTAGTGTACCAAAAGTCTCTACAGAATCGCAATCGCAATAATCGAAAGCCGATAGTGGACGAAGATGTCAGGGCCATGGTCAGACGTAATTTTACCCACGAGTATGATTTCTACTACTTCTGCAAACAGCGTCTTTATACCCAGTATATAGCCCTAAAACGAAAGGAACTGGAGGGACTAATTCACCCTTAATCGTAAAAGACTGACCTCTCTTTAGTTGTTTTTTTATGTAGTTCTTTCTGTAGCTCGTTAATAAAGTACTCATTAGTAATTGTAACTAACCTGTAGGACAGTGGCAAAAACGTGACTTAATACAAACCCGAATCCTAAATCCAGCTCGATTCGTTGCGGAGTGCTCGTTTAAATAACACTCGAAAGTCCCGACTGGACGTGATCTTCTTTAATCGTAACGCCAAAGTGGGAAGTGAGGCATTGATGCAACTTACCCAGACCATGGCGCCCAATAATAATCTGACAGTGGTGACCAAGGGCATTCTGCAGAGTAATTCCCGCACCCGATCGCCTCCAGAACGAATGGTACAGGCTCTTTGGATTAACGAGCTAGAGGCGGGCACTATATACATCGAACATTGCAATTGGCTGGATTTCCACAGATATCAGCTACCAAGACCCATCTACATAAACCTGGTTCGAGATCCGGTCGAGCGAATGATCAGCTGGTATTACTATGTTCGCAGTGGCTATCGCAGTGCTATCCACCATCGTCGATTTCCCAATGCCACTATCAAATCGGAAACGTGGTTCAAAAAGAGCTATAACGACTGTGTTCGCAGCGGAGATCCCGAGTGTCAATACATCCCTGGAAGTGTTAAAGAAACTGAGGGTAATTACAAGAGACAATCCCTTTTTTTCTGCGGCCACAGTCGTGAATGCTTGTAAGTAACTATGGAAGCAGAACGGTTGCCGTGAGGAAATCTTCAATTGAAAGTACATTTCAGGCCCTTCGACTCTCAACATGCCATTCAGCTAGCCAAATTGAATGTGGAGCGGGATTATGCGGTTGTGGGTACTTGGGAAGAGACCAACATTACCCTAACTGTCCTCGAAGCCTACATTCCAAGATTTTTCAAAGGAGTCAGGGATATCTTTGAGAGTAGGTCTCGTCTTACTTCCAATTCCAAATCCATAATACCTTGAACGGGGCTTAAATGTCAGATTTGGAAATGGATGCAAGGACACTTAGTTTCATTCGGTACTTGAACACTTTAGGCACTATTGGCCCCTGGGATAGTTAGCAGAATATACCTACACTTCATACACTCCGTGTCTCATCAATCCGTATTTTGTATTAGTTTAGAACTCTGCTGAACAAAAAAAAAAAAACAAACAAAACCAATGATCTTCCCAGCTCGGACGGGTGACCCTTATGAAATTAAATATTACCCGATTTGCGGCTCTGGAAGTGGTTGTCTTCAATCGACCAACCCGGGTGGATAGTGAGCAAATGATGCCACTCTTGCGGCAACTGGCTGCTATGAATGATATTAATGTGGTGCTTAATGGACCCGTGAGAACGATGAACAGGACACGCACTGAAAAGGAGCAACTCACAGAATTGGAATGGGCCAGTGAACTGGAGAAGGGATCCATTTATATAGCGCACTCCAACTGGCTGGACTTTGAAGGCTTTGGCTACAAGAAACCGATCTATGTATCCTTAGTGAGAGATCCCATAGATCGGATGGTCACGGATTTCTACAAACGCCGCTCTTGGGTGAAGAGAGCTATATTCCGAAGGATGTATCCAGGGCGTCGCGAGAGGCCAGAGGAATGGTACAATCTAAGTTTCAGCGAGTGTGTAAGAAGTGGAGATCCGGAATGCCGATTTGTCCAGTATTCTGTATCGGACTATATCCAGGACTTTAAAAGGCAATCCCTTTACTTTTGCGGCTCAGAAGCCGATTGCTTGTGAGTAGGTTAACTCTTCCTGGTCTTCAAGACTACTTAATATAATAAATCTGTAGGCCGTTTAATTCCCACAATGCTATACAAGTAGCAAAACGTCGAGTAGAAAAGGAATATGCTGTGGTGGGAACCCTTGAGGAAACCAATATAACGCTGACTGTTTTCGAAAAATATATACCCAGATTCTTCAATCACGCTCGTTTCCTATACAAATGTATGTAGTCCCAGGGGTTTCAATATAAAACCAGAGTTCAAGTACCGCCCACTCCATAGGAAATGTTATATAAAGACTTATTTTTTCAGTGAATAGCAAAAGTATTCGGAATCGGAATAGGAATAATCGTAAACCCCAAATTGACCCAGATGTTAAGGAGATGGTAAGACGCAACTTTACCAACGAATACGAGTTCTACTACTTTTGCAAGCAGCGTTTGTATAAACAATATCTGGCCCTGCAACTCGAGAATAATCTTAATTGAAAATAGTATTGATATATTGAGAATATAACTGAGTAGTATATTGCTACTGAATAAATATAAATACGAGTATTACTTACCTTTCTATACATTTATTTAAATTAAATAAGCGGTCAGGAATTCTCCCTCCCTAAATCTTTAAGAAATATTGTTTTGTAAGTGAGCTAAGTTAGGTAGATACTACTCCCTCTTATTCCCAAACAAATGCGTATCAAACCCAAGGACTTGAAGGTAACAAATAAATGAATTGTTTTATATTATACTAAATTTATATATACTAAATTTTAAAATTCTTCCCAGATGTCTTCCCTTAATGTGCGGGATCTGAACAATACCCGCAAGGCACAAATGGACTTGGTGTTCTTTAACCGAGTTCCAAAAGTGGGAAGTCAGACGTTCATGGAGCTCCTGCGCCGACTATCAGAGCGTAATAATTTCCAGTTCCATCGAGATGCTGTGCAAAAGGTGGAGACCATTCGATTGGCGGAGGACCAGCAGCAGGAAATGGCTGAGGTGATCAGCGAACTGCCAGAACCTTCCGTTTTCATTAAGCATGTGTGCTTCACAAACTTTACCAAATTCAATCTGCCAAAACCCATTTACCTAAATGTGGTTCGAGATCCTGTAGAACGCGTGATTAGCTGGTTCTACTATGTCCGAGCGCCTTGGTATTTTGTGGAGCGTAAAGCTGCCTTTCCCGACCTCCCGCTGCCCCATCCGGCTTGGCTTAAAAAGGACTTTGAGACATGTGTCCTTAGTGGGGATCAGGAATGTACTTACACACAAGGTGTCACTGTGGAGGGCATTGGCGATCATCGGCGACAGAGCTTGTTTTTCTGTGGTCACGACTACGAGTGCACGTGAGTTTTTTTGTACACAAAAAATAAAAATCTAAACTGACATGTTGATAAGACAGCCTTTTTTACATTCTTAACTACACCTTACTAATCATTTTCATGCTTATTCTAGTCCTTTTAATACTGTGGGTGCCCTGGAACGAGCCAAATTTGCCGTGGAGCAACAATATGCAGTTGTTGGAGTGCTGGAAGATCTGAACACCACTCTCTCTGTGCTTGAGAAATATGTACCGCGATTCTTTGAGGGCGTAAGAGATATATATGCAAGTAAGTAGACAGAGAAATTCAATTGAGATCCACTTGAGATTATGAAGTAATAACCATTACAATATATTTTGTTTATATCGTTTTGCAGCAAGCGCCGAATACTTGACTAAAATCAACAAGAACAACTTTAAGCCCCCGGTCAGCGAGCATGTTAAGGATATAGTGCGACGTAACTTCACGAATGAGATCGAGTTCTATCAGTTCTGCCGCCAGAGACTCCATAAACAATATCTGGCTGCCCACTTACCACAGAGAATTATCACAGACTCGGCACATCTTCCCCCTCTGATAGGCAATTGAATTATATATTCAAACAAATGTAAAGAACAAATTTGACAAACAAAATCATACTCGAAACTGTAGTCAGCTAAGTTCCCCAATATGTTGTAGCAAATTGATTGTTTTCTCTTGTGTATATTTCAAAATGGTTATCAAAAATATGACAAATCCCTTTAATATTTATATTGATTAGTGAGTACTTAATGTTAGAAGAACCTGAATTTGAATTGTGATGTCTTCAAGTGAACTGTTGAAATTTTTGTTTTAGTATTTTAGACTTAAGATGCTTACAATAATACCATGTATAAACTAATAAAAGAATATTTTAAGAACACTTTTTCTTTGTACTATTTGACTTCTAAGTGGGAGTGGAAAATAACAAGAAATGATAATGATCAAAATAACTTAACATAACATATGAAATCAACGACTTTTAACATATTTTTAGGTAATATAATGTTAACAGTAGTACAATACTATATAAAACGCAACCTAGCGAGCATCCATAATGTCAAAAAATATACTTTAATAAAATATAGAAACCAAAAAAGCAGCGAAATAATAATTTACGTTTGGTTGACTGCCTTAACAAGAACTATTCTATGAACTGGGTTTTCTCTGGCCGAAATTTATTACTGTAACTTATAGCACTTATTGATCATAGTCGGTTTCTCACATCTGTTGATAGGTCGCTTCTTGCTGTGAATAAATCAAATGGATATCCTTAATTTAAGTTACAGAAGTTGGACTTATTTACTCACCGCTTGTTGCCATAGAAAGCGAATGCCTTTGCTGATTTCATAGCCTCCCAAGGTCCAGGTATTACTCTCTGCACCCGAATTACATTCGATTTTGAGCATTCATTGGGTGGCATCTCTACAATTCGTTGCGGTTCGTGAATATATATCGAATCGGGATCCATTTTAATTATATCTAGAATGTTTTCATCATGTAGTTGCAGCCAATCTGGGGCTTCCGATCGAAGATTCAATAGCTCAGGAGCCAGCCTTTGCACTGCTTTGGAGAAAATAACATCCAAAGCACACGTAAGTGGATGTTGATACACTGCAACATGGAGGCGCGATCTTGCCTCAAACAAACGATATATACGATGATAGTCCTGATAACGGTACTCGATGCGTTGACCGTCGGCCGATATGCGCGACTGCAGAAAGACATCATCAAAGTCCATTTCATCAGAGTTAAGGACATTCACACGCTTGTTATCCCGTCTAAGATAATCCCACTTGTCCACATCCAATCCACAACGTCGATTGTGAACGATATCAAAGATATAGTTGTGTCCCAACATGGGAAATGATAGAGAGTCACTGCAGCCGAGAATCAGAGCCTTAATTAATTGAACTCCCCGACCACTAGCGTCATCTCTCAAAGAAACCAGCTCCCGATTATGGGAATCATTGAAAATGCGATCGACACAGGCCAAAGCATTTTTCTCGTGCTTTAAAATAAATATTATAAAAATAAATAAAATGTTTTCCTTTTTCCTTGATAAAATTATACTTACATCAAATCTGTAATTGCAAACAGATTCCCAGCAATGGGACATAGGACCGTGCCCAATGTCGTGAAGAAGGGCAGCTATTTCCACTGCCTGGCGGCACCAGTCCGGTAGTTTAAGCTCATATCGTGAGTTGCGTTCGATGGCTTTAAGGTGATCTTGGGCACTCTTGTACGTTCTGAAAAGTACATAACCATTTATTTCATTCTGATTTACTAAAACACAGTTTCTAGCTCACCCCAAGCAATGATCATATCGCTTCTGATTGGCCTTTTTATCAAGGGCCCACGGTACGAGGCCTAATTGATGAACCTTTTTAAGTCGTTGAAACAGTGGATGCTCTACGATTTCCTGTATGTAGCACGGCAGCTCGATTATTCCGTGCACTTCGTCTTCGATAAGCATCTATAAATTTAAAATCAGTTTTTAAATATAAGTATATTTTGACAGCATGTAATTGTAATTTTTTATAGTTTTCCATGTCGATCTGTTATGGATTTTATTCTATTTTATTTTAGTCCTAGAATATATTTATTTAGGATTGCTTGGCAAGATAATTTACACGGTATCGACGCATATAGCAAATCTAGTGTTATGATAAAACATTTACCACAAGATTAATGACGTACCAAAAAAATTTATTTGCTTACAAATTTAAAATTGTCATAAAACTTCTATTTGATTCCACGTTTAATTACAATAAAGTTTTTTTTAGCAATAGATATGTACATACATAATTTTGAAAAGAATTTTTCAGATAGCATATATTGTAAACATGTTAATGGTTAAAAAACAAAAAAAAAAAACAATTTCAATATTTTTATTTGAGAATTAAAAGCGGAATTAAAATATAAATACCTTAATCCTTACCTTTAAAATATAATACTAAAAATCTGATTTTAAACCGGTTTGAATGTTTATTTAAAATGGGATATAAGAAAATCAAAAACTATGTTAATTTAATGCGCTTTCAACAACGACGAAACTAGAACTGAGGTCTCAATATACCAATTCATATTTGTTTTCCTAAACGCTTAAGATTCCCCTTACACTGAACAATTCTATTAAAACAAGTCCTTTTATTTTATATATTTTTACACATTATTTGTTATCAGTGAGTCCAAAATCAAAAATGTGAAAATAAAAATCTTTTATTTAAATATTTTCTTGTTTCGCTAATATCAGCGTTTAAATGGTTGAACGCAAAAATAGCTTTCTTTCTTCTTGACCACATATAAAAATACTATCTTTCTTTGTTTCTAGTTACCTATCACAAATTTTTCCATAGCTTATTATTTTTTTTATTTTTTTTTTGTGGGGTCTGTAAAAAACAGAATGATAAGAAAGAGCATACTTATATTTTATATAAATTTCAATCCTCTTTAACAGTGTTTTCTTTTTAACATCTTGGTTAAACATAAATTAATTTAAAGTGGAATGTTTTTTGAAAATATTTCATATACAAATTATTAATTATAATGATCGAATTATATTTTTCTCAGTGTGGCGAGGCAGCTGAGCAGCACAGCTGTCCCGTTGCCCCCAGCAAACAACAACAAGGCGTGTAAACTTACAGAGTGGCGGGCTGGTGGTTGTTGTATCCCATGTTGTGGTTGTTGTTTTTGTTGTTGTTCTTGGAAAAGCGGGATATTGGAGTTGTGGGGCTCACGAAGCTTGCTCGGGAGGGAGCGAATCACTGCACTGGCTGACATTCTAATTGGATTCCTGTTCTTTGCTCTTAACAATCCGCGCCCGAAACAAACCCGAAAGTAAGAACAGTACGACGTTTTGAATGTTTAATTATAACGACATCAGGAAATTTGTTGATAATATTTTACTTGTATTTTTACTCGTAACCTCAAACGCACACAACTGTAATAGTGCGACGAACAGCTGATTGGGCCTATCGATTATCGACCAGGGATACCGTAAAAGCTGCGCCAAAATATGTTTCTTTCAATCATTCAGTTTTAAAGAGAACATTCTGTTTTATTGTTTTCTATTTCAGCATCGACTTTTGTGCAGACCTGTTTGTTTACAAAATATTCCATAAAACTTAATAACTTTTTCGAATATCGCCCAAAAGTATGATTGTATTTTATGTTGTTGGGAAGTTCCAAATATTAACACGTTGGCGCTTGGTGTAAATTACATTGCAGGCATGCAAAATATGATTTGACAGGCAAAAAGGACCTTACTTTTAATATTATACACATTAAGATTATAATTAATATTAGACAAGAAAATATTTACCTATTTTATAATATTTTATTTTATATAAATCAGACTAAGCATTAAATTAAATTAATATTACTAAGAATTATATCTATGTCAAAGTTATAAAATAGGAATTTCTAAAGTATTAAAATTTTGCTTTTTATTGTCAAAAATGCAATTATTACCAATGGCAAACAAGCAATTTTAGGTAAACTATATAAATAATGTTGAAGTATTTAGTATGTTTCAATAAACAATTTTGTTAGTGGTTAATCTTAAAAAAATCCTTTTCAAAATTGGATCAGTACATCTGCTAATTGTTTTATAAATTCCATATATTTAGATATATGAAAAAGATATGTAAACTATATATCTATTTAAAAAATATAGTAACACAATATTAAAATATTAATGTTTAAAAGCTTTTAACGAGCATCAGAATGACTTCATATAAATTTGTAGTCAACTGACTAACTAACTAATTAGACACCCAAATATAAAATTAAATTACAGTTAATTTAATGTCATGTGATAAACAAAGCCGATTTGAACCAAATAAAAGGAAGTCCGCTTAGCTCACTCTCTCGCATACTATCCCTGTCTCATGTAGCATTTTCCGGCCTTGGTGAAGGGAGGACGGAGGTGGCCGGGGGGTTGGCACGTGGCGCTGATATCATGGAAATTGTTTTTGCAGAGAGCGCCATCTCATTGAAATGAAAGCGAAAGTTGGCCAGCTGAAAGTACCACAACAAAGAGAATGGTTAGACCGAGAAGAGAGGAACCAAAGAGAGAAGTATCTACATCTTTGTATCTGCATCTTTAACCCGCAGAAATGCAATTTCGATTAAATGGAATTGTAATTTTTGCATAGACTACGCCCAAAAGTCAATGCACTATAAAAATAACAGAGAAATTTACACAATTGACACAATTTCCACAGAGGGATATACAATGTTTGGGTGTTTTTGCAGCATTATAAGATAACGACGAAGCGACTTCTTGCTAAAAAAAAACAAGCAAACAATTAATTGAATAATGAAATAAAAACAAACATCGGGCAAACAATTTAGGTGTGCAAATATAAACAAAAAACAGAAATGTTGAAAAATGCCGGCTGAACGACAAGTGGAACGCTAAAGAGAACAAGAATTGAGAGTAGAGCTGTAATAAACTGAGAAACCGGGAGAGAGCCTCAACTCGAACAGCAAACAAAAGGTGCACAGTGTTATTTGTCAGATAAAATTTGTATCAAAATATAAATTTATACATTATGATGTTTATAAGGTAAATAATTAAAAATCTTACTTATACCTTAATGAAATACATTATAATTAACACAAATGGTACATGAATTGTATGCTCACACGAAATTGAGAAATGTTTATATGTACTGGAGTTAAGAATCATTGCAGTCTCCTAAGGAAGAATAAAGAAACTTATAAACTTATACAAAAAGTGACTAAATAATAGATGTACTGAAATTAAGCAAAGCATTAAACAAGAAAATTATATGCTTGTTTTAAAATATGAATGAACCGAACGAATTTCGTAAAATTAACCAATCTATTTGTTATATTTTAACAAAAAGCTCTTCTCCCTTTTCATTGATAATAAATCCATCCTACTTTAGAAATTTGAATTGTATTTTACTTTTTAGTGTTACCACTTTACAGTAAATAAAACATATAAATATTATTAAATACTTCATTTATATTAATTCAGTTTTATCTAAAACCACTGTGCCGTGCCTCTCCCGTTTGTTTGGCTCTCTGACTTGACATTTAGAGCCCAGCAGTATCTAGAAGTACCTCCCAAAACAACCGCCCACCGCGAGAGAGTTTCGGAGACAAGGGGCAAGGCGGCATCGAAGCACCGAGGTGAGAGCGAAAGTGAGAAGCACTTGCAACTTTTGGCGAAGCTTGCCTCAGTTGCCACACGACAGGACGGCCAAACGGGCGAACTGAGAGATACGAGCCGGAGGTCTGCGCCAGAAACGTATCCCCGAGATACACCAAATTAGTAATTATTAAGGCACTGCGTGACGTTCGCATTCACCCTCCACTCGCCCCTTGGCCGGCCTGTCTCTCTCTATAATTTTTCGCTAAAAATTTATAATAAACCAAAGGAAATAATTCTCAAAAATCATTGTATCTGTGTATCGGAGAAATCGACTAAAAAGAGGCCGCCATGTGCGGTCGTCGTCGTCGTCGTTTGGCGCTCTCGCATCTCAGCGGGCGAAAGACGCAACTGCTGCGACCTTGCAATGCCCTTGAATGACACTCTTATTGCGACCAAGTCGCCAACGTTGCCACTACAACGGGCGCTGCTGCCACGGCTGCCTCTCACCTCTGGCTAAATAAATAATAATAATAATAATAATAAATTTAAAAATACTTGCAAAAAAATAAGTAAATAAACAAAAACACGACGCCGAATAAATGTGAAAATTTGATTGAATTCAGAACATTTTCGTCAGCCTTCGTGGGTCAAAAGCCGAGCAATCCCGACGGGTCCTTATCACAGCCTTAACCCAAATCAAAACGAGTGTGTGGAAAATAGAAACGAATCCCGTAGAAAATTATATAAAATAAATATAAATTAATTTAAATATTTGCTAAAAATTCGAGAAAAGAAATTAAAGCGAAACATATCTAAGAAATCCGCCGCGAAAGTGTTATCTAACCAGCGCACCCCCGCCGGCCAGGTGCTTGTGTGAGTGTGTGTTTGTGTGCGAAAGTGAAAGTTCTCGACTGGCCGACTATATCCTTCGGTAACCTTTCCCTCCAAACACTGGGTCACCTCCCACATAAACGGCATCCGGGCACGCAATATCTAGAAGGCAACCCCCAACATATATTAACTACGAGTATACATATATATATATGTAAATATATATATATCCACGATAAATATATATTACAGTATATGTAGGCGATATTTATGCCACGACTTTTGACAACTAATTCTTTTTATTGGTTCGCCGACGAGCGCTGGTAAAGGCCAAAAAGGGAACGCCTTGGAATAAAATAAAAACATCAGGTTGGTTAATCAAAATTATTACAACACACATTTCCCATATATAAGCGACAGCGGAATTAAGTGCGTGTTTTATATAGACATGGCATGCTAATAATTATGTATGTGGTTTCAATTGATGCTGCTGCAATTAGCATGTGCGTGTATCCATCGGATACATTTGACTTTGATTTTGCCATTTAAAGTCAAAGCTGAGCACGTAGTTTTCGCAATTTATCGGTAACTTGAATTCAACATAAAAGTCGAAACTAGTTCAATTGAGTGAATTTGTTTCTAAAGTCACTTTAATTTAGTTAGATGCTGCTATGCTCTACATTAATCAACCAGTTTTCTTTAAATAATGACGATTTTGAAATCGTTTTTCAAGTATTTAGAAGGACGTATGAGTTAAATATAGAAGTTTTATTAAATATGTTTAGAACCCTAGTTAATTTCATTTAATTTTCTATTTAATAGATAGTTTAACATAATTGATAGTAATTTTAAGTAACTGTTTCATGGCTCCTTTATAAATAATCTGCAAAATCAGAAGGTTTTCTTAATCTATATGTTAAAATGTATATAAATACATCAGGAATAATTATATTCCCTTTCCTAAAACGATTTGAATTCTTACATCCCTTTGCCCCAATTTCTTGGCCATCGCAATCAAAACAAACCCATTCTAATCTCGTTAGCCTAATAATCCAAACAAGGCTAGGAACTTATAACCATAAAAAAAGGAAAGCGAAAGCCAGTTGAAAGCGAAAGTATCTTCTTCCACCCGAGTATTTTTGTATCCGTAACTGAGTTTTTAGTAAGGCACAAGAGTTTTTCCACTTGCTTTTGTTGTGTTCACGGTGCTTGGCTTTGTTTGCTTTTGACATTTCGTTCGATAGCAATGTCATACAAATATAAAGAAAATAGAAGCACGCGCTAGCCGAAAAGCCAAAATAAAAAAGAAAATTAAATAATATGGAAGCCACCCACACCCAAACACACGCACTGACACACGCACGCAATGTATCTGACAGATACAAAGAATTACTGAGGGAAAATTAGCGCTTCAAATGTGGCTCGTGTAAGCCACTTGTTTTATATATATATTGATTACAGTAGAATTCCAATGCAAATCGATTTTTTCGGGGGTCTGGGGAAGAGGATTCCAAATCAGAAGCCCGGGAATAATAAGCAACATGCGCCAGCCGGATTTTTTAGCTAATTTACCATAAAGAATATATATTATTAATTTTGTTTTATTTATAAATAAAAAACAAAAACCGAAAGCCAGTCAACCAGTCAGCTGTTGTGGTTTGTTGATGGGTAGAACAAGTATCTATATCGCTCTTACCAAAGCGTGGGCGGCACTTGCCGGTCTGAAACAAAAAAAAAAATGTTCTGAGTAGAATTTATGCTAATGATATATGCGACAGAGAATGACAGCGAAAAAGCTAAACCGAATATTTATTTAGTTTTCTATAAGCTCAGCCATTCAAGTGGATTTTCAAAGGATTCGTTTACTAAAGCTATTTTGCAGGAATCTAACCGATTTTATTCTATTTTCTAGAATTAACAAGAAATTATACATGGTTTATTTGAGAAACATTAGATTCAATTCAAAAGAAATATATTTAAAAACTTGAATGATCTTTTTTCTTATTGTTATTCTTAAAAAAATCTGGTATCTTATGCTACCAAATGCTCAACGTTTCCATAATTTAAATTATCTCAAGTCTTATCTTATCTGCACTGCTTCAAGTGTAGTGGCAATTTCCTAATTAATTGCCTGTTAAGACTTTAATTTTCTAAGCATATTTGCTTTGGAGAACAGTTCAATGATCCGCTTATCAATCTAATCACTTTCGGGCTCTACTGTCAGCCGTCAATCCAACTCGAGTCGCTGAGTAGTGCTAAATCAGGATTACAAACTGTTCCGGCGCCAAATTCAAATAATAGCTAATTAGTTACCTAATCTCTAGCTTAGCCCCTCCACCACTGCACTGATTAGGGACATATTGAATATGACCAAGTTGGTATATTCCTGTGTTTATAATATATATAATCCCACAATCACAGCGGGCGATCCCAAAAGCCCACGGGGCTTAAATGACAGCAAAAATGCTGAACGCTGATAGTTTATCTGCAGGTAACACTGCGATATGGCTAACATTATTGTTGGCAAAGCATTTACCAATTTATTGCCATAACGGGGAACAGTACGTTGATTCATTGATAATACCCTGGAATTATTGAGAATTCCTAATATATTTTAAAAAGAATATAATACAAATTTAAATAGGAATCCTTTTAATACCTTTGAACTACATATCTTCTTTCCTACCTGAGCTGATATTCCCAAAGAAATGTGTACGTAAGATTACTATTGAGGCAGACATCTGAGGCTGCAACGTCACCGATCACGAGCAATTGTATATAGCCTGCATCTACCTTTTGGGATGCACAGCTAATACACAGATACAGATACAGATACAGATACTTGGGCACCGATACAGATACAGATACCAGCAGAGGCGGATGCGGATGCGGGGTGAGTGCAATCAGCGTGAGGGCAGTGCTTGGCTACGATTTGCGATTTTGCTCCGCTGCCCTGCGCTTCGATTTCGATCCGATCCCATCCCATCCGATCCCATCGCATCCATCCGATCCCATCGCATCCATCCATCCCATCCGATCCGATCCGTTCCGATCCGATTTTGCCTTATCAATCAGGGTGGATTTGCTGAATGCCAAAAACACAACAAAAAGATCGTTTGGTAGTCAGTGCACGCCCGACACCGTGACGCTGCAGACGTGGTGCAGTTCGTGGGCCTTTCGGTGGTTTACTCAGCTGGCTGTGTCTCTGGGCCTTATTTCCAGATAGCCAAGGAAATAACACACATTATTTTGCTCGAATATAGTACAACCTTGGGTTACTACTCCCTTACATCACCGTCGGCTAGTGTAAGTGTAAAATTCGCGGAAAGTGTAATTGTGAGTGAAGCGTTCTCGGTTTCGCGGTTCGCGGGTCAATTCTGATTGCTATAAATAAAATTGCAAATTCGTTATCACAAGCCATAATCGAGACGCCGCCGCAGCATGATTAAGCGCCTCCCCCTAGCCGGCGAACCACCCACTCACCCACCCATCGCAAATACTGCAAATATCATGTGGGGTTCAGGTGATAAGCCGTCGACCAGCAACAACAACAATTTAAAAACTATATGGTCCGGTTATAGGCCCAGAAACATCTAATCGAACTATTTAAATGGTGTGAACAGCTAATGGCGCATCCATCTCTGTCCCAGTGACTAACAAACCGAACATGAGAAGTGTTACTGTGAAATGCAAATGATAAGGAGGACATTTGTTGTGTCTGGCGATCGAAGCACCTGTAGATGCATTCAACAATCAAATTGAGTTTCGAGCTCAAGTTCATTATTTATTGGATTTTATTAACTTTTGATTTGCAACTTGTTTGCTATAAATACCTTTTCTAATTAGACCTCTTTACTTTAATATTATTCCCTTATACATATACGTAATAGGAAAATATTTACTCGCTTTTCCTTTCACATATTTTATACCTTTTAACTTAAAAAGGAATTGAAGCAATATAAAGTTTACCAAAAATATCTATTAAATGGTACCAGGAAAATATTCCTTAAAATTCTCTTTAGTTGTAAACAAATTTAGCTGAATTAGAATCGTAATTGTGTTGGTTTCCTTATATTATTGCCTCTTTCTTGAACCAAATTGGCACCTCAACAGCACCTTGACTTTATTTCATAAAAATACCCTAAAAGTGAACTAATCAAGCATAATTCAAAGATATTTTTTATTGCGTTTGTCCACTTTAACATCAATTCCGTACGTTTCCCCCAATTTAATTCAATTAAGCCTCTTTGGGTGGTGTCTTACCGCTCAGTGCGTGTATCTACTTAAGTCGAATACTTGGAGTAAAAGTATCTCACAGTTATGCAGTAACATTGTGTAAAAAAATCGCAAATAAAGTGCAAAAAAAAACGAAACAAAATTGAGCAAGAAACGGAAATGTTACTTTGGCCGAAAAATAAAAGTCAAAGACATATGTTGTCTTAGCTTTATTTATAGATTTCGTGATTGTGTGTTATTTATTTTCATTTCTTTCTTTCTGTACATATATTTTATTTATAAAATGTGAGCTTGAGACACTGCATTACGAATTATTATTTATATAAAAAGTATTTTTGAATTTGAAAAGTGTTTCAAAACAATGATGATTTTGGGACCGTTTCTTAATATTTCATTTATTTTGTTTGCAAAAAGGTGGAGATTATTTTAATTAATATTTATATGCGTCAATTTATTTCGGAATGTTTTTTAATTTCGCAATTAATGAGGACATGCTCAATTAAACGTCAATGAATTCGAATGTATATATTATTCACATATATTTTAAGTGTATATATTTCATTCTGTAATCTCTTTCTTGACCCAACGTCATCAGCGCCCAAAACGCATTTAGCCACTTGGCCGAAAGCCAGAACAAGAATCCATTTATCTGAGAAAAAATTAAAAAAGGGTGCAACATATGAGAGAATCTTCAAGGGATATGCATGAATCATAAAATATCTGCCATAAGTGGCATCACCTCATTTTTTTCGCATCCGTATACTGCAGGTCTGCTTTTATTTTAAGGAAATTTCAAAGAGATTGGCATTTTGACCCCCTTAACCGATTGATTGTCAGACGATCGTTTATTTATTTAAAACTTTGCCGACGCCATTTGGCTGCTCAGCGTTTTACTTCTTTTACTCGCTTTACTGCTTAATTAAATTTCCTATGCATGCTGCCAAAAATAAAAAGTAAAACATATATACCAAACAGAGACGGAAAATCCAAATAGACAAAAAAAAAAAATGCCGCGAAGAGTTCAAGGCCAATTGACTTTGTCTCGTCTCGATTGGCGCATCTAATTTCGAAAATAAAAACTCTGATGTCTTCATTGGGCGGCACTTCCTTTGCTAATTTGCTTCCCATGGCTCTCTCAGTATGTATATGTATATAGATCTATAACTGGGCGTGGCCTGCCACTGCACCTGATCAAAGGTAATGCACGTGCTGTCACCGAAAGGAAAACAATAACAATACCATCTGCCAAAAGCAAAACGAAGAGGTGTTAACAATTTGTTATGGTCACCCGGTTCACATTGGTGTTTCACAGACATCATCTGCTTTTTTCATTCGGGGCAAATCATCACGGGTTTTCATCACCTGATTTAAAAATAAAATAAATTGAGATAATTATTTTTTGGAAATAAATTGAAATACGTTTGACATAACTTAAATATTATGTTACTTAAAAAGACAAAAAGAATACGGCAATTAATTGAAACTATTAAATAACACTACAAATTTATTTTAAATTATTTTTTTATAACAAATTGGTTGCAATATTAATTTATTTTGATTAACTCTTGTTTAATAAAATAAATAATGTAAATTTGGACGGCTATAATATATAAAATAATAAATTAGTATTTAAATATTATTTTTATTTCAAAGATTATATAACTTTATCCATACATATATGTATTAATAAACCTAATAATTATAATGGTATAGAGTTTAAAGTAATTGTTTAAATGAATAGAACATTTTACGCTTTTATTTATGTATTCGTTTAAATTTAAATGTCATTTAATAAACTTTTATTAATGCTTTGAGCATTAACTACCAATAAACTATATTTTAGTTTGCTAATTTCTATTAATAATATTATATTGAAACTATATCATATATATTTTAATAATTTAGTTCCCACTTGCGTTACATATTTATTTTGTTATTGGTTTATACAGATATGTATACAATTTACATATATTTTCATTATTGTGTTTTTGTTTTCTTTATTTTGTTCAAAAGTTTTCCATAACACGCTTCTTGTTAAATATTATTTTCATTTACATATTTGTTAAACTTAACATTTATGTGAGTTAAAACTAATTAACCCGACAAATTCTTTGAATAGTCTATTTAAATTTTAATGACAACTAACTAAATCAAATGAAAAGGCAACAAAAGCACTCGAAAAATGAGAAATGCGCCGGGGAATGGGATAATAAAAGCAGATATACTGCATAATATATATTTCCTCAGCTGTTTTTAAATGCCACCGAAGAATATACATTGGGGAAAAAACGAAAAGGGAAAGTGATGAAAAACAACATTTCGAGCGAATTTATTTGTTTACTTAAAGCTGCCTCATCCCGTTCCAATATATCACTCACGTCATATATCCCGATGGTTATATACTTGCAGATATTCCGCCAATCGACTGCACCAGGCACTACTGTGTGGTGACGTGACGTAAATGAACGATCCCGGCGATATACCACTGACACACACGAGCACGCCGGACAGCAGGCCGCCCTGCAGCATTATTTCCATCATACCAACCATTGGGATGTCCTCATGCCGAGGAAGAGCCGAGGCCTTCGCACGGAGTCTGTCCTCCAAGCTGCGCACCTTGGGATCACAGGTGAGAGAGCAGTTTTTTTTAGTATTTTTAACTGACAGTTTGTTTGAAAATATTAGCCCTTTTCCTAAATTGCTTAACAAAAGGCTCACAACTTCTGCAACATTTACATCTCTGTTGGCAGTACCAATCAATGTTGCTCAACATGTTTCCAGCAACATTAGCCATGCTTTTCTGCATTCAGTCTTGTTTAATTGAAGCCTTTTATAAATTTGAGCACAATAAGGCAGTGAGAGTCAGCTCAGATACTCATATTCCTTTTAATTATACCCGGCATCTACTTGTTTCTACTCGTTTTAAAGATAAATTAAATAAAGAGAGGTCGTAAAGCTTGAACGTAAACTTTATTTTGCTGCTTGAACTCGGCTTAAAGAAATTGAAGTATCTTCTTATGTGGCGTGCTTGAAGTATTCCTCCATACCGGCTTGATTCGCCTTCATGGTCCTGGCGCCTGGTCGCCAGTTAACTGGGCAAACCTCTCCATATTCATCGCTGAACTGGAAGGCCTGAACTAGACGCAATGCCTCATCCACACTACGACCAACGCCCATATCATTCACTGTGATTTGGCGAATGCGTCCCTCGCGATCAATGATGAACAAGGCGCGCAGAGCTAATCCTGTGGCCTCATCAAGTACCCCATAGTCCCTGGCGATCTTCATAGACTTATCCGCCAGCAATGGGATGTCCATCTCGCCCAGACCGCCGCCCTTCCTGGGCTGATTCATCCAGGCGCAGTGGCAATAATGACTATCAGTGGAACAGGCCATTACATCGCAGCCAACATTGCGAAACTCCTCGGATCGATCGCTAAAAGCCTGCAACTCCGAGGGGCAAACAAATGAGAAGTCTGCCGGATAAAATAATAGCAGGACATATCTTCCACGGAGATCCTCCAGTGCTAAACTCCGCATGGCACCGTTCATCACCGCAATTGTGGAAAAGTTTGGAGCAACTTGGTTTATATTTAGCATCCGCATCTTGACGGGTTTCTTATTGTTTCATTAGTCGGTTTTGTTAATATTTTATTATCGGGTTTCCTATTGTTTTATAAGTTGATTTTTGTGTGAGAGAGATTTTCTGAACGGTGTGTTCAGTGTTTTCGTTGTAGAGGATGTAGACTGAATGAATAGAATCCAAGTCGAGCAATGAAGTTTCTCAGATGGGCCTACTATGAATTAGAATTTGAAAACTAAGTAAATCGGAAAAGTCTATAATGTTTTAAGGAAGTTGGTATTCAGGGAGAGATTTTTATGAGATGTTTTTGAGCATTTTTTAATAAGCTCTTACTTTTTTACAGACAACCGAGGAAGGCGAGGGCAATGCGGAAGATGAGCCCATCATCAATGGAACCAGCACGAACACGTGGGTCAACTCACACGACTCTGAACAGACAGTGACGGACCTTCAGCCCCTGCGCCATGAGTCCGACTCCTTCTTCGACTTCGACTGCGAGCTGGAGTCGCCCGGGAGTCCTGTGGATGAGTGCGAGTACCTGCGCCTAATCGAAACCGCCTCGAATACGCCGCACAACTCAACGGCGGAATCGGGTTATGCCTGCGCTTCAGTGGCCAGCAGTCACAGCAGCAGCACCGATGGTCCCTATTTCGATGCCTCCGCATCGGGATCCGCTTCCACATCCACAGCAGCAGCTGCCCAGGAGCCAAAGCTACCGGCCTCGGACCTAAAAGAATATGTGAACACCCTACAGTTGAACGGCAGTCATGAGCTAGTGAACGGGTTGCCGGAGGAGCAGCCACATAGCGAGGATGTCGTTCACGAGGATGAGGCCTTACTGCAGGCCCAGATCCTGAGTGAAATTCAGCAGCATAGCATCAGTTTGAAGGCACAGGATCAGACTAAGCCCCAGGAGGATAATCTTACCAATGGCCATCTTGGGGAGGAGGTGGAGCAACTGGAACTCAAGGGGTTAATGGAAGTCCTAGACGTAGCTGGCACTGCAAACAGAGTTCCAGAGGTCGTCTCCAGCGAAAAAGCACTGAAAGAAGTCCCAACCGATAGGATTCAAGAGGTAATCTCCACGGAAAGAACTCAGAGGAGACACCTTGTGACAGGGTTCAGCAAGAAGGTTGCCTTGAGAGGGTTCAAGACGAATCCACCAACGAAAGGGTTCAAGAGGAAACCCCCATCGACAGAACCGCCACAGAGGAATCCATCTTCTCCGATCGATCTCTCCAGAACGAGGAACTGTCGCCCGACAGTGGTGTAGACGAGACAGACAAGTCGGCCAGCAATCTCACCGTGAATGTGGAGCTGGCACAAATCGAACAGGCCAAACAAGATGTGGAAAACGCTGTGGAGAAGAGTGGTGGACATAGCCACGGCATAGATACCACTGATGATGAGGATGACTGCAGACCTCAGCGAGTGAGGCGTTGTTCTTCCCTGAAGACGGGAAAGACACCGCCCGGAACCCCCGGACGAAAGAAGATTGTGAGATTCGCTGATGTCCTGGGCTTGGATTTGGCGGATGTGAAGACCTTCCTGGACGAGATACCCACCATACCAAAGTCAGCGTTCGAGGACCTGGAGATACTGGAGTCAGAGCCACCTCTGCAGCTGGGTCCCAAGTCGGACAAACTGCTGATGCCGCTGTTCCAGCAGCCAGGTGGCCTGGCCACATTCCTCGATGCGGTCAGGGAGAAGCAGGTGTCGCTGGAGAACGCGGCCGTGTCGGATAACATAAACCAGACGATAGCCGGATCGGTTCGAGTGCGAAATCTCGATTTCCACAAGTCGGTGCACATAAGGTATTCGCTGGACGGCTGGAGGAGCTATGCGGACTTGCAGGCCAACTACGTGGAGAACTCCTGCGATGGCTTCTCCGACAAATTCACCTTTGTGCTGTTCGGCAACTCGCTGCATGTGGGCCAGCGGCTGGAGTTCGCCGTGAGGTTCCAGTGCAAGGGCCAACAGTTCTGGGATAACAATTACGGGGCCAACTACTGCTTCCAGTGTCTGCCCAGCTCGACACATGCCACCGGCAGCACGACGGCATCGCCTCCGTCCGTGGCGACTGGCGCCGTAACCTCTGGCCATTCTGCCAGTCTGGTCGGAATGCTAAGCCCCACGGCGGGCGATGCCTGGTGCAGCTCCTTCTACTAGGCGGTGGCGTTGGGTCCGCACTAAAGGCACTAGGAGTCCATCTCATCACCAGCCCCATGACACGACACCAAGGTCTGGGATACATCCCTGTCCTTGACGTTGTGTGTGTCCTCCCAAAGTCTCCCCCAATGAATTCGAATTCCCTAGATCACGGCCAGTAAAGATCACAGATCAGATCGGAGTTGTCATCCTCATCCAGCTCCCTCATTGTTAGGGTGTATCGATTTGAAGAAACTAAAAATTGAAGTGGCATAAAGTAATAATTGAACAGTTAAAAGGATATTCGTATCGAAATATGATTGATTGTATTTCACATTTTGTCACTGTTACCAATGAAGGATGCTTTAAATATTTTAATGAAAAGTATTTAAAGAGTAGAAAATGTAAAATAACAATTAATTTAATCAAAATTGGTGAAGTTATTCGTTAAAAGTAAGCACACAGGCAATTCAAAAGCAATTCTAACAAAGATAACAAGCTTACGACTAAAATATAGTGATTGAAACCCTTTAAAACTGTTCATCAATTACTTACTTTCCCACAAATTGTAGAGTTTTTTTAAACACCAAAGAATCGAACCACCCTGCCCTTCCAATAAAATGGAAAAAATTGTTTATATTTTTATAATGGAGTGGACAGGCTAGAGAAGGGGTAGAGGAGCTGTTAAAGCTGTGAAGGAGCGCCACAACAATAACTAAAAATATACAAATCAGAGTAGTGCGAACAAATAAGAAGAGCCAGCAGAGTTCGAATGAATCCCAAAGATAGTTGTTAGTCGTATCTTATAAGAAGAGCAAGTGATAACAAACTAAAAATCTGATGAGTTTCTTTTCTCAATGTTTTCTTCTGTTTTCAGTTGCAGCCCAATTTTAACTATGGTTTTCTCCTAGGTTTGTTTGTTCACAGTTGGATCGGGTTCGGGTTAATAAGGTTGGGTTTCTGCCAGTTTTATGTACATGTACAAAATAATTCTTTGTGAAGAGATTAACCGAGGTTAATCGAAAGTTCAGCAACAGTTCTGATTTATTATTCAATGAGCTTAGCACCATTAACTCACTCTTTGTTTGGTAAGAGCGACTAGACGATCGGCTCATTCGTTCTATAGATCCATTCGAGCACAGAAACCGAGTCAAAAGTTAACTATAACTATAACTATAACCAACATCCATTATCTAGTCAATTTGAGTTTACTTTTGAGACCTTCATGGCTTGGAAATAGTTCAGTCCCATGATCTTAATTCCCCGATCGAGAAACTAGTCTGAAACCATCTGACAAAACAGACAAACCTCCGCTTTTGTTTCGCCTAAATGTTGATATTTTTCTGTTTTTGATTTTTTTCAAATACTTTCTATTTATAATTTAAACGATTTAAATATTTTTTATGTCTATGTTGATGCGTAATATATATCTTAATATTATATAAATATATATATATATACAAAATAAAATAAATATAAAATGTAGTTACTTTTCTTTCGTTGATTCTTTTACTCTTCCTTTGTGTTTATTTTGTGAAAATAGTGAAATATGTGTTATCACCAGTGAACTCTTCTTAACCACAACAGAACTTTATATAGCCAATATCAGGGATTGACAAGCAACATTAGAAAACACCTACTTGTAACAATTAATAAAAAACGCAGCTACCTCAAGGTTTTCTCACCGAAAACGCGAAAAAGAGAGAATAATAGTTAAACAAAGTATATGATTAATATATAAATACTATAAAATATGTTTATTGCATAGCAAACATGTATGAAACCGAAAAGAAGCAAAACAACAAATAAAAGCTAACTTTAAAAGTTACAACTATTTACATATGTTGACACAGCATAAATATTACAATGAGAAATATTACAAAAGTCCCCCTAAAACCAATGACTTAGACTGAAGCGTGAGTATTTCGTTAAGAGATTTGTTATGAGATCTGCCCAGAAACCAGATTTATGTTAAGGTCTGGGTGGGCGGGGCTTTTGTCTCAGCATGAGTTCCACTTCACTCCAACAAAAGAATAAAGAACCCACAATAAAATAATGATTTCAAAACCCACGTGCATTTCTGGAAAGTGTTTTTATTTGTGAGTCACAATAAAGTGAAGGGAACATATTAAATTATGCTAAAATGGTACAAATTCCAACAGGTAAGTAAATATAAAACACTTATTTAAAGTGATGGTTATACCAATAAATGTCAATGCTCCATTTCCATCGACATTATAATCATTTATCTCTTGTTTTATATTTAGTTCTTTGACATAGAGTTCACTTTTCATGGCTCAATCGCAAAAGTCCAATGCCGATTTAGTGTGAAAGTTCTCAAGTCATTCATTGATTTTTATGCAAATTATGCACACTTTATAAATAGTTGGCTTAGTTTATTAAACAAGAGGCATTTGCATAAAATACGTATATAAGACAAGGTATATAAATCTAAATGAGCCATTTTAACGGTAGTTTTGAGTGATTCTTCTCTTTTTGCCATTCTTCAGGGCTTTGTCCCCATATAAAAAGATGGAACAATGATCGGATTTTGGTTAGTTGTCACCATGGAGTCACGATTGGAAGTTCGCCTCGCGAACTGCATTATTTTGGTGTCAGTTTTGCTGACAATTTCATTGGGAATAAAAGCCCAGGATGATGCCTCTGTGGGACGTCTTATTACCCTCCAAGCCGGAAGTCCAGCCCCTGCCCCGCCGCCACAGGAAGTGATCATCGAAGGGGACTACGACCACCATCACCACCATCATCCTCCGGCGTATCCCCCGAGCTATCCATATCCTCCGCATTCGCCACCGTCGCACTGTCATTGCCCGCCAGGTCCTCCTGGTCCCCCAGGACCTCCTGGAACACCCGGACTGCCCGGCCTGAAGGGTTATCCTGGCCCCAAGGGCTCCAAGGGCGATCCCGGCGAGAAGGGAGCGCAGGGAGACAAGGGTTATCCCGGTATGCCAGGAATGCCTGGGCCCCAGGGTCCACCTGGATACCCTGGAGGTGCATATCCCCCCTATCCATATCCTCCACCTGGACACGGACATGGACACGGACACGGACACGGTCATGGTCATGGAGGTCATCATCGCATCTACGATGATGAATACCACGAAGAGGACGACGACCATTATGGTCACGAACGCGCCTTTAGTATTATAGAAGAGGATCAATTTGACAATAAACCCCTTATCTTGGCATTTAGCCATCAGAGAAATCCACTTATTTCAAAATCAAATAAAAGACGAAATTAAACAGAGTTGTTTTTAATGAGATTATAAAAAAGAGAGACTTTTTGATTTGATCATCAGAGACATCTATAAATATTGATCTATAAAACCTATATATTTGCCAAATTACTAATGAGAAGAAAAGCATAAATTTAAATGTCTTAAGTACCAAATATATTTATCATCTAGGGTATAACGTTTTTGGTTTGTATTTTATTTGATTTTAAAGTTAAATTGAAACAAACCAATTTCGTTATTAAATGCGGTTGGTTTTATTTTGTGTTTAAAACTTAATTTACTTACTGGAAAGACATTGTTTGTGTGAAAACTAAAATTTTTCTAATGGTGATTTTAAAGTTTCACCTTTTTACGACAATTTATGGCAAGTGTTTTCGTAATTTGTATGTAAAAAAACTCTGTGCTAAAACTCTTTAGGCACTTTTTCTTAATTAATTTCAAGTAACAAATTATTCTTAAATGATTAAAATTTTTATGGTCGTTTAGAACTAATAATTAATAAATTAAAGTATAACACAGAAAGCAAAGAAATAATCATACTTCATTATTCTTCAAAGTAAATACTGTAAATACTATGAATTGAGACTGAAGATGTTTGACATTTAAGTTTTATCAATGAAATTATTAAATTAAAACAGGATAGTAATATAAATTCAGAAACTTTATGCAGTTTTGACAACTATATATTATAGTAATCCGACTTTTACGTTTTGATAAAAACTGAGACAAACGCTTAATTAGTGCAACCATTCAATTGAAACCTTTTTACAACTCTTATGTTATTAAACAGTTTGTGGGGCAAACATAAATCAAGATGGGAAATAAAAAAGTATACATCTTAACTATTAGCAAACATCATCGTCTATGACAGGATGATTGTCATCGACCTCCTCCTCCGCCTCCTCGTCATCCAAGGCCGCTTGAGAGGCACTAACCTCCGCGAAATCATCCTCCATGTTATCCACAAAGCTCGAGACCCTATCAACACACAAAACAAACAAAGATTAGAAACAAATACCAGGCAAGGTTCCAAGTTTTCTGCCATCACTTTTCAAAGTCGCACTGCGGCAGGAGGCCTTCGTCCTTCGAGGGGCTGAACCGGAGCAGCGTGCAGAGTCTCAGCAGGCCAAGGAGTATCAGGAACATCCCGGCCACATAGCTGAGCCACAGATTGTGTGGGTACAGGATCAGGCACACGCCGATGACCGCATAAACGGGCGTGGGTCGCCACCCACCGCAAATTGCTGACAGACGCCAGCAGGCCAAGCAGTTGCAGGATGTCCGCTGGTAATTATTTCTGAAATAAAATTAATACCATAAATATGGGTATGAAATTATTATAGTTTGAAGTCATCAGAACAATAAATATATTTATTTGGATAAGAGAAAAACTAAAGGAATTAATTCGAATAAGGTATCTCTATCGGAGAGCATTAAACAATTTTTTTTATTAAATTAAACCGAAATTCATTGAATATTTCAGTTTAATTGCCTTAAATATTTATATATTATATTCTCAATCTCATTATTATTTTCATTATTCTTAAATTTAAAAATATAATTGCCATATTTGCTTACTCCGAGCACTGCAGCTGCAGGAAAATTGTCACCAGCCATTTGATCTCAATAAACATTACCAGCACGGCTGAAAAACTAACCACTAATTAATTTAATTCCGGGCTATATACGATATGGCTTACACTATGTATAGGCCAGCCCTATAGCCATGCATGTAGACATCAACGCCGACGCCGCAAATAACTGAAAAGAAAAATGGCTTAAACATTTTGTGGGTGCGGGGCGAAATGGAGAGTGTTATCCTTGAACAAGCCTATAAAATAATGTGATTTTGTCTGCGCGAATATATTTATAAGCATATTTATTGAGTTGGGGCTTTTTTGTTTACCAAGATGGGGCCATAAAATGTAATAGGAAACCGAAGAAAAGCACCGAGGTGGGGATGAGAAGTTTCGAGGCATTAAACAATCATTATGTAGATTTAAATTTAAATACATTTTGTTCGACAAGTAAGGTGTATGTATGTTTTAAATATTTATAATATGAAACTAGAAATACGCTTTATATTTAAATTTTGTTTTTCGATTTCAGTAACTAACTTAAGGTTTTGCTTAGCTAAATATAATTTAAAAACTAAATTGGGTAACGTTTATATATTTAGAGAATTCAAATAAATCTTAACAACTTATCATATCACACTCCTTGATTAGGTAATACAAACCTTCAAACGGAATAACTTTAAACTTTAAGTAATACTTATACTTATAAACAATTTTTTAAACTTAGACTTTAGGTTAACTAAATAAAATCGAAAAACAGAATTTGTTATAGTAAAATTTTTAAGTTTCTGAACTTAAGAAAACCTTGACAACTTCTATCACTCCCTCTATGATTTTCTCATACAACCCCCTAAAATATTCATATTCTAACCACATTATGAGTCCCCCGATTCGCAGCTACCAAATCCACTTCCAATGTGTAAAATATGGCCAAGAAAAGCCAACACTGCCCCTTGCCCCCATCTGCGTAAAAACTCAATCTAATTAAGTTGTTTTTATTATGCCAAGCCGCGAAAAACAAATCAGATTAAACCAGTTAGATATATGTATATGTGGGTCGTATTTAAATGACACTGCAGAGCCCAAAACCAAACCAATTACATTAAAGGCTCGGAACGGGACAAAAATCGAAAAAGCGGAAATCGAAAAAACATGCAAAAATTATCTGGATAATTGAAAGCGATGGAGAAAAAATAGATATCACTGGAAATGGAGGGGAAAACTTGGCGAATGGCTGGCGCCAAAAGGCTAACAACAAAGCTCATTGTCGACCGTATGGAAAAGTTGCTCTGATAGGGAAAAAAGGGGGGAAAACGCTGCTCTTGGCACAGGATGCGAAATGTGAACTGCAAGCTGCATAGAGGCCAATGCCTTGTTAATGGCTCTGACAAAAAGGATTTCCTTGGAACCTCCCATTCCCACCCACCATTAAGAGAGGGGTTTATGAACTATATCGAGTTTTAAGTCCTTGTTTTTCTGCATGGCTCAAAACAATTTGTAAGGAAATTAGTTTGAACTTGACCCAACGTTTTTGTTATGTCCTCCCCACCAGCCATTTATCAAAATTCTGTCATTCTTCTGGCGAGTTCACTATTTTAAGCGCATTAGGGAAATCTCGCTTGCTGGCTGAAAAATCGTTGTGATTGGCCGTGATAAGAGTTTAAGCCAAGTTTGATAACTGCACCAGATGGCCGAGAAAAATCCTTTAAAAAAATTAACTGAATTTCCATATTTTTTATGCAGATTGAAGATAACAGAAAGTTCAGATATTATATGTGTTTAATTTTATGAGAGAAAATATTTAAATTGCGTTGCAAGAATTTTTTGTACTTACTAACTGATAGAAATCAATTAATTTAAACGTTATTTTTTTAAAGGCTGCCGTTTAAGAGAAAAAATAAAGACCATATGGGCTTCAAAGAATAATCTATAATTAAATGGAAAAATTTATGTAAATTGCAAGTAATGGAATTTAATTTGATTAGTCATTTCTGTTTAGTAAAACTTTATTTTCATAAACTTAATGCAATTTTATTTCATTTTCTCTTGAATTTAATTTTAATAGAATTTATTTCCCTTCTCTTGTTACAATGCCCAGGAAAATTGTCTTGAAGGAATACTGGTTTTTATTAAAGGAAGTCATAAAGAGATTCTGAGAGTGAACGCATTCACTCAGCAGCTTAGCTTTAGAATTCATATTGAATGGCAAGAAATATAATAAGCCACAGCACTCAACATATCCCGAGGCTTGATTTCCATGCACAAGCATTTCCTACGATTTGTCAAGGGTAAACATTCCGAAAAAGGGACACAAGAGCAATGCACATGCATTTATTCATGCACATGCATCTAACCCCATATCGTGATTGGCATTATCTTGAGTAGGCGGGGGATGGAGGGTCACCTGTCCTGAGAGTTATATTATTTTGCCTGCATGGATTTGCAAGGCACTTGAGCTTACCGAATGAAGTCAGCAGACCAAAAACCCTTATCACAGGACGTAAACACTCGCACTCGGCGGACTGAGGACGATGATGATGTCGTCCTCGCCGATGGCGTTGCTGTTGCATTTGCATTTGGCTCATAATTAGTTTTTAAATTAGAAAATATAACTTTAACTTATTTTAAGTTTTCTTTTTATTTGATTTACTTTATCTGTCTTTATCGTTGACTTTCACATTTTTCCTTCGTAACTTATTTTATTTCTCATGTATTTCCACTTTATTCAATATATTTATATTTGCACTTTTATAGTTTCTTAATTTGTTCTATTTTTATTTGATTTTTCCACTCGATCCTTAAGACCTCACTACCATCCAAGAATGGCTAATAAAACAATCAAAGAGCCGTATCCACATCACAAAAGTCCACTACGTGCTTGGCATACTGAGAAGTTCAACTTAACGACAAAAGCATTTTCAATTTCAACGTGAATACCAGCTCATTACGCTTTTAAATTTCGTTTTTAAATTTGCGGTATTTAAGTTGGGCATACGCTGCGTATGCGTAATGTGACACTTTTCGCACTTCTGCTTCCACAGTATTTAATCACCGTTATATGCGCTAGTGTGTGTGTGTGTAATGTCTGCAAATTACCGTTACCATTTGCACTTTACCCCCGCACGTTTTTGTGTCCTTTTTTTCGGTTTCAATTTATTTTTTTGTTCCTTCCTTTATGCATTTTTTTGTGTTATTTTTTTGAAGGTGCCACTCGTTGCCCGCCTTGCCACTTGACTTTATGACCGTGCTCTAAACAACGAACGAACGTCCGCACGCTCCCAGCAGCGCTAGCCGAATGAAACTGAATGAAAGGACCTAGCAGGGAATCGTTTCTATATTCGGAGTCAGATCCAGAGTCGCCGCTGAGGCTGCTTTTCCTACTGCCACTGCTTTGTAGCCAAAAGGCCAGCCAATGGGGCGGCGCTGCATTCGAACTTGCCGAGCTGATTTGTTATGAGAGGACGCTTCGGTGTTTATTTCTTTTTAAATGCTTACATCCAAGAGTTGAACAAAAAGTGGCTTTCAGTTGGAGATTTATGGTAACCACAAAAATACTTTTTCGCTGTAATTATTCATTTAGAGGGGAATATTTGTTTAATATTAAAATTAGAGAGAAAAACTTATTTATTTGGTTTAACAAAACTCAATAAACAGACATAGATTTTCTATTATAAAGATTAAGAGGTTATATTATTTACCCCAGAAATTTGGTACAATATGAATTGTTTTATCATTGGTAATTATTACTGGAATTTTAAATCTGAGTATTTTTAGTTTGACTTCAGTAATATTTGTTTAAGGTTATTTAGCTTTATTATTAGCATTAGTATTAATTTATTATAATTTACTTGAATATTTTATTTATTTTTTATAACAAACTTATTGCAACTGCTTAATCAAATGTTATTGAAAAGGATGTATATTCTAGTAGCCTGTTAAAATTTGTTTAAATATCTGTGGAAATATTTTGAATATTAATAGCTATTATGTAACATTTAAAGTTATTAAGCTTCTTAACCAAGCTAATGATTTTTATTAAAATATGCAAATAGTGTTTTTTAACAATTTTTCCAATCAAATGTTATTTTCTTTTTATAAGAACCACTTAAAGAAGCATTATGTAATTTATAATGCATTTCAACTAACTAATCAGGAAAACCTCATAACTAAGGAATAAAATACTTCAAAAATTACTTATAAATTATGTCTTAAAATCTTGAACTCTTGAAAAACGTAAATAAAATGAAACTGGATTTAAAATTAATTATCTATTAATGTTTTCAATGTTACCTAAGAGTAGCGCATACCCAAAGTCTCTATCATCCTGCTGAGCTTCTTTCCAATTCTAGCTTGATTTTATTTGTCACGTTGTCCTGTGTGAGCTGCTCCTCATGTTTGTTGCTATTGCCTGGCTTCTCCCTGTGTGTGCGTGCCTTCGTCCTGCTGGTCCTGCCACTTTCTGCTGCCTCTTCTCCTCCCCTTGGCTACGTTTCAGTAATTTTCATAACTGGCTGAATGAGGAGCGAAACGGAGAGGAGGCGAAAAGAAGCTCAAAAGGCGACCAGGAGCAAAGCTGAGCAATTGCCAAGTGCCAAGCAACTACGCAGAATGTGGACAAAAACATTTTCGGCTGCTGCCGGCTTCCTTCTATACATATATATTAAGCAGTGAGAAGCACGAGTAAATATTTTTTTAGCCCCTCCGCTTATTGTGCTGTGCATTTCCTAAGGTGCCTATCGTCAGTCTTGTTTGCATTATGCGGCGTTAATGACATCCAAAGTGGGGAAGACGCCCCCCGAGGAAATGCTCCACTGTCGCCAGCATCTACGACATAATTTACAGCTGCCTTACACAGAAAATTTCATTTCCTCGAATTACCGCGATTACCAAAAGAAAGAAACCTATAAAGGACGCCCCAAGCATTAAGATTTGTATTAAAGTCAAGAGATGCTTATAAATTGAAATTTGAATTTCAAAATTAAGAGTCTGCATTTAAGCAAGAAATGAATTTAGATTACTTTTTTTTAAAGAGCAAATAGATCTTAGCATAAAATAATAATTATAAGTATTAGTTCAACTTAAAAAAAGTATGGCACTATAAAATAACCTTCTGTATCCGGCTCGAAGACCAATGTTTGGCAGGAGATAGCTTTAATCCATAAAACACATTATAAGTAACTATTCATAATATATTTGATAGTATAATAATATAATAAATCGGTTTCACCAATACATTATCCTGGGATAACATGATTAATTTTCATTATATTTCAAAAGCATTTGGTTATTTTCTTAAACAACAACTGTAAATCGTTAAAGTAACATTTTTTCTTCAAGTGAAGTGATGCTAATGATACATCCCGGACAGCTCACTTGGGGAACTCCTTGCGCCGCTTCATTATCTTTGTAATACCAGCGACCATGGCCACCTCGGGCAGCGCCAACTTGGCATCCTCCTGGAAGTCGCAACGTCTGGTTAAATGCAGCCAGGTTCTTTCCGGATTCAGGGACAGCGGCATCTGCAGCCAGCTGACATAGTCTATTTTCAGGGATCCCGTGAGCAGCTGGTCGAAGGGGTATTCCCGATGAAGAACATAGACCTAAGCACCGAAGTCTTGGCCTCCTTGATATTCTGGCCCTGGACTCCTTGAAACGGACTCGGATCATTGTCACCGGTGCCCAGTTGCTCCAGCAGCCAATCCTTGTTGAATTTCAAATAATTATAGACCACCTTGAGGGCTTGCTTACCAATATTTGTGGTTAATATATCGCTGACAAGGACCTCGGCTATATAATCAGCAATGCCCACATCCAGCTCCATGGCGTAATTGTTTGGCGGACTATGGCTAAGACGTTCGGATTCCGCATTTGTCAAGGCTAAGTCGTCCATTTTGATGGTACTGACGGCACTCATTCCACCTGCCCCTCGCAGTTACTACCCACGGTTCCCTCAAAATCGGTGTCCAAATTGATACTCTCCTTGGCCTGTTTAAGGAATAATTCGATTTGATCCGTGTGCTTGTCATCTTCATCGATTGAGCAAATGGCTTCTGATATGGAATAGCAAATGGAGGCCTTGTCCTCGTTTTTGCCTGAAAAAGAAATACGATTAATAAACAAAAATAAAATTATTTATTAATTAAATACGCACTCTGCTCATACATTTCCGCTGTCTTTATCAGCTCGGTATATAAGGCGGCAAAAACCACCTGTAGGAGTACCGAATCCCCCAGAGGCCGCGTTGAAACTGGAATGATATCCTGCAGCAAGGAGGCTATCTTATACAGTCCCTCGGGTAGGCAGTCCCAAATCTCAGAGACACAGGTGAGTGCCAATGACATGGCCTGATACATGCTGGCTCCATTTTCCACCGCATTCACTAGCATCTCCACCACACAATCTAGGACGGGATAGACAAAGTGCATAATGGCCTCCAGCCAAGGAGTCCTCTTCTGGTTCCACACCTGTCGCTTGTCCAGGCAATCGCTCCACCCGGCGATAGCATGTTCCTCAAGTGTTTTAATCAGACAGGATTTGATATCCACTGCCTTGCCAACAGCCACAACTAAGTAGGTGAGTGACAGGACTATCTGATAGTTGGATGGCCAACAGGATCTGAAACAGGATAATTACAAATAATCACATCAATAATAACATATCCAAATTCTATATAAACATTTGTAAATATCCCAACCTACCTATGTCGCCGGCAATAGATTCGGTGACATTGAAGCATTCACCGCGACACAAGAAAGCCTCGCACTTTTGAGGAGCACCCTCAGCGCTAGTAAAAGAAATTTTAGCCACGTTTTTAAAGTTCTCCGACGAAGGTAAATGCTGCATAAGATGACGCATTATAATGCCAGTAAGATAGGCATCTCTCATCAACAGAATTTTCAATAGATAAGACCAGTCAGCCTCGGGAAAAGCGAGCAAAACCCTCAAATCCAAGGAAATGGCAGTATTGGTTGAGAGATCGGCGAATTCGGTAACCCATTGGCAGGATTGTTCCTTGGGAAAATACCTGGGTAAGGCAAAAATAATCCAAGCACTTGGAAGGCCATGGCGAGAGCTAAACATTTCCATATTGTCAATACCTTTACGGAAGACCTACAATTTATTGAAATTAAATAGTAATAATAAGTAAAGGTGCGAAAATTGAGCTCACCTTCGAAAGTACCCCCAATGGAGCTCCCCTGAGGAGGAGGCAATAGAAAAGTTCCCGGCACTTGGCATGGATATCCCTCAGGATGACACTCTGGTTACTCAGTTGCAATCCCACATATGCCTCACCACTCTCACAGATATGGGGCAACAGCTCTGCGATGCAGAGGAGCATGTTGCATATATCCACCAGGTGGAGTGTGGATCGAGCCACGCTGGTCACTATTTGGGTATAGCGTACAGTCAGTACGCTCAGCGTTTCATTTAGCATTCCGGCAAATATTTTCTGGGCCATTTTAGGAGGCACCGAATTCCACAAATCGTTCTTGGAACCGCGCATATAATGCCACCACATTTGAACAGTGTAGGATCCTCGTTCGGACTCAAAAAACGGCTGTGTATCCTCCCAATGCAGGCAATCGGCATCCTGCATAATATAGAGCAATAATAATCGGCAATGTAAATCCAAAGACGTTCCGCCAAGGCCTCAGACATCTGTGAATATTGCTTGAAGCTCAGCTTGAGAGCTCCACCCTTTTCATCACCCTTCGGGGGACAAATGGTCGTGGTGGCTGCCTGCATGTAAACGCTCAGAGAATTCTTGACCAGCGAAGCAGCTCCAATTGTGGCAGTGAGTACAGATAAGTCCGCATGATCCAAGGACTCCTGGGAGAGACGATGGATATGCTCTAGAAGTAGATCCGCCGACTTGGTGACGAGCTGAACAAATTTATCAGGATCTGACGTCTTGACGGTTGCACTGGTCTAGGGTTAATAAAAAGTAACATAATTTCTCAATATTTAAATTAAATTAGTTAATTCATACAAAATCTCCTTCATTCATTTCCTTTTCAGTGTGCAAAGACCGGAGGGCTTTCGATAAGAAGCAAAATACTCATCTTCCCACCTTAAAATAATTATTTACTCAAATTGTTTCGAATATAAATGTATCACTTATTACCAACGAATTAATTTAATGGCTGCAAAGGATGCATAACGTGGAAAATCCAATTTTCCTCCCACGACTCCTGAGCAAATTGGTTCCTGAAGCACTCGTTGATGTGTCTGTTTTAAGCTGATTCAGTTTAGAAACTATCAAAATAAATGTAATGTTACTTCACCTGATAAAACTCCAAGTCTCGCTGCAGCAAAATGGGAACTCTATCCATTAAATTACCTTCTTCCAGTACCTCCATTATGCTTAGTTATTTCTTTTATTAAATATACTTTATGAGCTTATTATTCGTGTGCGAAATATTTGATAACGAACAAACAGCTTATGTAGTACACGGGTTGTCAGGGAAACCGTGGCCGTAGCTTTATCGAAGAGGATATCGAAAACAGCACCCGACATGAATATTGAAAATAGAAAAAGAATCTTGTTCAGCATTATTAGATACTAGAAAGAATTTCTTGATCTACGGATTTCCAGGTCACAGATCTAGAATTATTCTTTGGGAACAGATTGAAAGATGCCTGAACAAATCATGTTTATATATATAATTAATATTTTTGTTATCTTGGTCAGTCAAGATCGAATTATGTATGTATGAATATGAAATCAAATCGAACTAAACCTTAAGCTCACTTTAAATGCAACATTATTAAATGTATATGACAAATTCCAATAGTTGTATATACCTTTTACCCTTCACCTGAAAGTATACAACAGATGAATTACTGCACTCAACCTCCTATTTAATAAAAATTATTGATAAGACGCCAAGTGTTCCCCACTCTCTCTCTTTGAATTAAATTCAGTTTATGCCGCGATAAGCGGCAAACAAAAGCCGGCTGCCCAGCTCGTTCAAAATTCAAATCTATCCTCAGTTGATAATTGACTTGCGACTCGGCCAGTCGTGAACTCTCAATCCGGAGGCAAACAAAGTGAGTACCAGATTGACGGAGATGGTATCAGTAGATCCGCGCTGCTGGGGATCTAAAAAAACTTTCCAGCCAGCAACTAGAAAACAAAACGGAGCACTTATCGCTCGATAAGAAATGGTATCAGGGCGTAATCAGTAATCCATAAATCTCCTCTTGCTCTTCTACACACAGACCTAAAATCTTATATTCATTTCATAAATATGCAGCCAAATCGGAACATAACTAATTAATAATTAATGAATAAATAACAAATGTTGCATTATTTACACACATATGTATGTTATATGTACTCAAAGTGTTTTTAAGATCCAAAAGTCTCAATTTAAATTTATACATTATCTTTCTTTCAGCATGATGGCGCATTTGAGAAATCTTTCGAGGCTCGCCACGCCCCGCCGACTGATCACCCAAGCCGCTTCGAGCCGCTCATCTTCCACATCCTTTCTGATTGACCAACCCGAGTATAGTTTTCTCAAGGAATTGGGCTTGGAGCGGGATAATCCTGGTGTTTATTCCGGTCATTGGCAGGGGCGTGGACCGTCCATAACGAGTTATGATCCTGGTACCGGTCAAGCGATCGCCACAGTACGTCAGGGAAATGTCCAGGAGCTGGAGCAGACAATCGGTTTGGCTGTCGATGCGTACAAGCAATGGCGACAGGTGCCAGCTCCTGTTCGAGGTGAGATCGTCCGCCAGATCGGTGATGAGCTCAGAAAGTACAAGGAACCGCTGGGCAAACTCGTCTCCCTGGAGGTGGGAAAAATATACAGCGAGGGACAGGGTGAGGTACAGGAGTTTATAGACATCTGCGACTACGCGGTGGGTCTCTCCCGGATCTATGCCGGTCAGCTGATTAACTCCGAGCGAGCAATCACTCAATTTTGGAGGCCTGGCGTCCCCTGGGTTGGTGGGCGTTATTTCGGCCTACAATTTCCCAAATGCTGTGTTCGGCTGGAATGCTGCGATAGCTCTTACCACTGGCAACAGTGTCCTCTGGAAGGGAGCTCCCAGCACGCCCTTAGTTTCGGTGGCAACCACGAAAATTGTGGCGGAAGTGCTGCGCAGAAATAACCTCCCTCCGGTGGTTACTCTCTGCCAAGGAGGTACCGATGTGGGCCAGACTCTGGTGGCTGACAAGCGAGTTAACCTCGTCTCCTTTACGGGCAGCTGCCAAACTGGTCGTGATGTTGGCGTGGAAGTCCAAAAGCGATTCGGTAAGTAATCCTTGAGCTCGGAGGCAATAACGCCTTGATCATTGATGAATCAGCCAACGTGAAGATGGCCCTGGATGCTGCACTCTTCGGTTGCATTGGCACCAGCGGTCAGAGATGTACCACCACCAGAAGGATCATTGTTCACGAGAAGCTGCACGATCAGTTTGTGAAGGCTTTGGTTGGCAAATATAAACAGTTAATACCCAAAATCGGACATCAGTTGGACGCACAAACTCTTGTGGGTCCCGTCCACACCCAACAAAATGTGGAGAATTACACGAAGGCTATTGAGGAGGCCAAGTCCTTAGGTGGCACAGTAGCCTTTGGTGCCAATGTTATCCAAAGAGCCGGTCATTATGTAGAACCCACTGTGATCACAGGACTCAGTCATGATGCCAGTGTTGTTCATCGTGAAACCTTTGCGCCCATCGTTTACGTCCTCAAGGCCAAGAGCGTAGACCAAGCCATCGAGTACAACAACGAGGTGGAGCAGGGTCTCTCCTCTGCCATTTTCACTGAGAACATTGGACAGGCTTTCAAGTGGATCGGAGCCAGCGGTTCCGATTGCGGCATTGTCAACATCAACACCACCACCAATGGAGCTGAAATTGGCGGAGCCTTTGGAGGTGAAAAGGCCACTGGAGGAGGTCGAGAGTCCGGATCAGATGCCTGGAAACAGTACTGCAAGCGGGCCACCATCACCGTCAATCATTCCGGCGAACTGGCCTGCGCCCAGGGAGTCGTCTTCAATGTGGAGTAAAAGGGAAATTTAATCATTTTTAATCTTCCTATTTTCTTTAATTTTAAATATACAATAATAATGTCCATAAACGAAATGCAACCGAGTTAATTACTTATCCTTGCTGATATCAAAGCACCAGAAGTCCACCTCAATGTCCTTGGACTTGTGCTTGTGGAACTTGTAGCTGGCCTCGATATTGTACCGAAGTTCGGCGACCACTGAGCCACGAGCACCCCACTCCTGCGCCTTCTTTTGAATGTAGGCACTGCGTGAGTAGAAAATAAAACACATTGCAATGGTCATATCCGTTGTTTATAGAACATGTTCAGTTTGCGACATACCGTGTAGATGTTTTGTGGAGTGAGTAGACCGCTCGGTTCGCCAATCGCAGTGCCACCTCCAGGAATCGCATGTCCATCCCAGCATTGTGCTTTGTGCCAAACGGAGGATTCATCACCACTGTGTCGAATGTCTTCTCCCACTTGCTCCCCTTTAGCTGCAGCACATCCGCTCTGACGCAGTCCACATTGGGCAGCTCCATCTCCACCACATTGCCCCTAAAGGTGTCTATCGCATCGCCGTCCAATTCGAAGCCCACTGTGAGCTGGGCGCCCAGGAGAGTGGCAGCAATACTGAGCATTCCGCACCCACAGCCAAGTCTCCCACCAGTTTTCCTTCTATATCTTCGTGTTGGGCCTGCATGTGATGCGCCATGCAGGCAGCTATGTGCGGTGGGGTTGGATATTGCTCCAGGAGGATCTTGGGCTGCTCAAAGCCATCGACACTCTGCAGATACTCCTCCAACTTCTTTAGCTTAAGACGTGCCATTGGCGGGCAGTCTATTTGCTGATATTGTGGGTGGCTGGGGCGTTGGGAGTGGTTGGGGTATTCGCGGGCGACGGCAGCGGCTCCAGACGTGGCAGCACGGGTATAAAGCTGTTTCCAAAATACGAATCCTGAGGTATAAAGAAACCCAGAGTTGTAGAGCTCGTTGGATTAAATGCAGAGCGGGCGGTAGGCGTGGCATTAGTGGCAATGCCCACGCCCAGCTGGAAATCTGGATTCACGGTTGTCGGCTGTCCCAGTAACTGAGGAGCGGGCATCTGCAAGAAATTTCATCTTAAGTTCCGTAAAAATCTTCAATGTCCACATGCTCCACACACACCTGACTCGTGGTACTCAATCCAAGATTAATGATGCCACCGGCCAGCAACTGCTTCTTCGTCTGGATCTCCTCGAGTATTTTGCGGTTCGTCTCGGCTTGCTGGGAACTTGTGGTGGGAAAAGACATCCCGTTGACTTTCGAAAGAATAAGAAAACAAGCAATAATTGTGGCACAAAATAAATTTATAATAATAGAACAGTGTGACCAGTTTGGCTTACTTCAGGCTATATCTATTTCAAACTGGAATTTATGAAATTTCCAACTAGCCTTAAAAATAATTTATTTTTATATTTATTTAGCATATATTATATATATATTAATTAAAATAAATATAGATATTATTTATACTACGTGTATTTTTATATGAAATATACATTTTCAATCTGTAGTTTCGGACATGGTTTATTTACATTAATATTAATATTAAAAAAGCTTTTAACTTTCTGTTTTATTATTTGTCTATTAAATTCATTTAACTTATATTTATGTCAATTTCTCACATTCTTAACAATTTGTTCGTGAAATTTAACATGCCCGTGTATAGGCTTACATTACAGAACGATTTTACACGTTTTTCTCATACATGGCGTAAAATTCTGTTTACAATTATGATGTGACCGTTTGGTAAAAATATCTGTTTAGTATCGTTATGATAGTATCGAAAAATAGATATCGATATAAAACTATCGCATCTAGTCGAAGTCTCCAATTCGTGGTTTGTTGTTCTCTATAACGTGCTGGCGAATATAAATAAAACAATAATTGTAAATAAACATCTTAATACATAGACTTTGTGTTCTCCGGCGACTCACTGTAACTATCCAAATCCTCTGCAGAATCATGAGTATGAGCGACGACGACAGAGACATTGATATCGAGAGTGACGTAAGCAATTAATCACAATATATATATGTACTTGTGTTTATGGTATTTTATATGAATTAAATCCCTTTTACAGGATGATGGGGACTCGGATAATGGTTTGGGCTCGTCGCGACACACCAGTACAGCAAACTTTACCCAAGTGAGTGTAATGAAATGGCAAGAAAAAGCTGCATACGTTGTTCGTTGTTGATAAACACAGAGCGCACGTGTGTTGTTGTTATGAAATCTTATTTACGTATTGATGAGCGAGTTGTGTTACACATACATATTTTATATTTGTGTATACTTGAAGGCGGAGAAGCGCGCGCATCACAATGCCTTGGAGCGACGGCGGCGGGATCACATCAAGGAGAGCTTTACGAATCTCAGGGAGGCGGTGCCCACGCTCAAGGGCGAGAAGGTAACGGAGGCCAACAGCTGATCTTGGATAGATACAGTGGCGGCCAGGACAATGTCAGGGATAAAAAAAGACAATAGCTTTTTGTGGGTAACACCGTAGGATATTTTACACTTTAAAAACTAATTTTAATGATGACTATTTCAAAGTAATTCTTTTTATATAAAGATCAGATAAACCCCAATTTGAAAAGTAAACATTTGTGTAACCCTAATTTTATATCCCAATAGGCAAGCCGAGCCCAGATATTAAAGAAAACCACGGAATGCATACAAACGATGCGGCGAAAGATCAGTGAAAACCAAAAGGACATTGAGGAGATCAGGAAACAAAACAGCATACTAGATCAACAAAGTAAATTGGACAATATTTTCCATTCCAAAAAAATTTTCCTCATACGTTTACTTTTCCAATCCCCAGTTCGAGCCCTGGAGAGTCCGAATGCCGGCGATCACTTCGCTGAGTTCCTCAGTGAAGATGAAGTGGGCAGCGAAGATATTGAGGACGATGATCTTGACCAGCCCGACTTTAGCAGACGCAACAAGAAAATGAAGACCTTCCATGCCTAGCTTTTGTTTGCCCAGGACACGCACAGGAATGTTCCGGTTTTCATTTTCACTGATTCTGTGGATATTTTATCAATTCCATCTAGGTTTTGTTCATTTTTCTAGGGTTGTGTTAACCAAAAGCAATAGCCTTTAATGTTGTGAAGAAATCAGTTCTAAATTCAATTAAGGAAGAAACAACTCTGTGGAAATGAAAGCTGCAACAATCCCTTTAATCATAATCATCATTAGTTGTAAGACCAAAGTGTAGCCCACCCCCTCTATACCTTAATTCGTATGCGTGTGTCTTTTGTACTTAGAACAAATCAGCACTCTCTCTACGAAAATAATAAAAGTTTGTAAGTTTATATATAGAAAATACCCAAAGCAATTCCTTTTAGTTTTGACATACTGGTAAAACTTGCAATGGTTTGAGAAGACTTTACTAAATATTATTATCTACCTAATCTAGTGAAAGAAAAGTAATTGCTAAACCCATTAATACTAAGGATTTTTTTCCTTGGATTATAAAGAAATCACAACACTCTTCACTAAACAAACTAAAGGTTTGTTGGTACATATATATTTTACACAAATTAGATACAACTACTTAAATTTAAGGGTCAGCCAGAGGATCAAGAATACGACGAGGACAAAGAGGAACATGTAGCACATCTGGCGAGCACCACCGCCTTGTTTGGCCAACCGCAACACCCGGGTCATGGTGTTGCCGAGAAAACCACTCGTTCGATCCATATCATCGTCGATTCCGCGCAGTAACTTATCCTGGTAGCGCACCTCATTGCCTATATCGATGGTAAGCGATTTCAGCGCTCCAATTTTCTGTTTAAGCTCCTCGGCGGCCAGCTCATTTTCCGCCTCCAAGGAATCATGACTCGCCGGAGCAGCGCCTGATCCCGATGGGTGTTGGTTCAGGGGCTGGTATGGATAGTTATTGCGGCGCATGCTGCTCCCAGTGTGTGCCAGTTTTGCATTCGGATTGCTATAGATCGGTACAGATTTATTTGGAGTTAATGTAAATCCTCAAAATCACATAAAAGCATTCAAGTGACACGTAAACGTAAACATTGAATCTCACCCAGCGGCAAGACAGCTGTTGTGATGATTGTTTCTGACCGCAACCTCTGTGACTGACTTCGCATTGACCCTTGACCCTACCTTGGCACTTTGAAATTGGCTGCGTAATGTTCAATTAAATAAATGTAAGATTTTAAAAACCTATGCAATTGTTGGTCGTCGTGTTGTGTGACCAGAGCAACGGAACAAAAATTCCTTGAAATAAACATAATTAACCCTATAAATTGTTCGACTTGCACGACTTCGTACCAAGTTTATAATTTGGTTTACTTAAAATTTATTAAAGTAAACGTATAATAGTATTATTAATAAAACATTAATCTTTTAATCATTTCATTCTTGTCATATTTTCTACTGTTTTTTTATTTCTGTTCTTCTGATCATGTACCTTTTACATGCAGATTTAATTCAAATATTATAAAATGTGTTTTATAAAGTTAAAAATAATATTTTTTTTTTTATTCTATAAGGCTCTTCAGCAATTATTAAGTTTATTTAGTTTCACACTTAATCACCAATTTTGCAAAAAGTCTCTTATATACTCTCATTACCATATAAGACTGAATGGGTCGAATCGGATGACTATATCAAATGTTTGCCATAGAAACGATCGGAACGATAGAAAAAAAATTACATTGTCAGTTATCAATATATTTTGATATAATATAAGACATAGACATTTTTGATTGTTCTAGAATTTTATTTTTTAATTTTATGAAAATCGGACGACGTCATATAGCTAACACAGAAACGAACATTAAATATAAAGAAAAATGCAAAGCTCTGAATTTAAAATTGTAAATTTAGTGTCGGTGAATGTAATGAAAATTGGTATTACATCATTGTTTTCAGCAGAGGTGTAAATAATTTTTATTGTATTAATTATAACTGTTCGAATTGCAATCTGCAATGGTTTACAATGTTCGGCGTGCCAACTTTAGCTTCCTTTCCTTTTTATTAACCTGAACTTAAGTTAAATTATTCTTAATTTTAATCAAATAACAAATAAAAATGTTATTTCGTATTTTCATTTACAAATAAAATTAAGAACAAAACAGCTTTTGATAGGCAAAGTTAGAAATGTGTGCTTGTATATTTTCGGTTAAAAAACACTCACCCCAACCACTTAAGGGTTAATCATGCGCACAATTACTTATATACTTTGGAAATTTTCTTACTGCCGGTCACACTGCTCCAGTCGCGTCTAGTGTTCAATAACTTTAGGTAATCTTAGCCAAAATTGTAGCTTGGCGCAGCCGTTTGTTTTTTCCATTAATTTTTCTGGCCCGGCCGTGAAATCAATAATCATCAAATATTTAAAGCTGTCGTGGCCACAAGTGCGTCATTAAATTTAGTGGTTTCGTGGCGTCCATTCGAGATTTTCATTCTCATTGACCCTGACCAAGTGCACTCGTTTGTTGCTGTTGTTTTTGTTGTATTAACTCTTCTTCTTTTATTAATCCCCTCCCCTTCCGTTCAGTTTGTGTTGATCAAAAAACAATCAGTTTGCGTAATAATGCGCCAATAACAATAACAACAATTACTGAGTGATAAGCACTGCAGAACGTTGAACCATCGAAACACGCGAGCCAAGTGACTGATAAGCCCTGCAACTCTTCCATTTCCAGATTTAGCATGACGGAATACACTGAAGTGTTGCCCCACAGGGGCCTAATGGATGGAATCTCCTTGCGAGTGGGCGTTCCCGTGGAGGCCCTGCGATTGTTGCTCACCATTTTGGCAGGTAAGACCTACATATATACGAATATATGCAGTGCATGTCGAGCATATGTACAGGTGTTCCGGCAATAATTGTATACCCTTGCTAATTTAAGTTTGTTTTATATATATTAATATATACTCCACTTTTCAGGCTATCCCGTGGCTATCTTTTATCTGAAATTCGTCGCCAGCATAAACAATAAAAAAGTGCACCACTTGTTCTTTGCCGCCAGTGGCGCCGGATTGTGCTACTTCAACTATGGCTCCGATACATATCACTCCCTGGTGGGCATTATGACCACATATTTCCTGGTACTCATCTTCCGGAGAAAGACTCAACTGTTCCTGACCCTTAACTTTGTATTCCATATGGGATATCTGCTGTTGGGTTACTTCTTCACCTCCAGCAACGATTACGATATCCTGTGGACAATGCCCCAGTGTATTTTGGTCCTCCGAATGATTGGATTTGGGTTTGATGTCACTGATGGCCTGAAGGCAGAGTCTGACCTGTCCAAGGACCAGAAGGAAACAGCGTTAAAAAACCCACCATCACTGCTAGAGCTATTGGCCTTCGCCTATTTCCCCAGTGGATTTTTGGTGGGGCCGCAGTTCCCATATCGCCGATATCAAGCATTCATCAACGGACAGTACCGTGAACACGAGGGAAGTGTTGAGGCCAGCGCTCGTCGCTTCGGAGCTGGAGCCTTCTACCTAGTCGTGTGTCAAGTGGGACTCAGTTATTTCCCCGACTCTTACTTCCTCACCCCTGAGTTTGCGAAGCAGGCCTTCCTCAAGAAAATTTATTATTTGGGCTTCTGGGCTAAGTTCAGTCTGTACAAGTATATCTCTTGCTGGCTGCTCACCGAAGGAGCCCTCATAGGCATTGGACTGACCTATAAGGGGGAAAAGAAGAACGGTGAGCCCGACTGGTCCGGCTGCAGTAATGTCAAGTTGATGCTCTTGGAAACTGGCAACACGATGGAACACTACGTGCAGAGCTTCAATGTAAACACGAATCAGTGGGTGGGACAGTACATTTACAAGCGTCTCAAGTTCCTCAACAATCGCACGATTAGCTATGGCGCAGCTCTGGGCTTTCTAGCTGTATGGCATGGATACCACAGCGGATACTACATGACCTTCCTCATGGAGTATATGGTCGTGAGTACGGAAAAGCAAGTGAGTATGCATGTCGGAATTATATTATCGAAATACATTGTATTTAAAAAATAATGCGCCATTTTCTCGTTTTTATAGATTACCCGCTTCTACACCACCGTAGTTTTGCCCAAGTGGGGCGACGTTCTCAACAGCTCTGACATCTACAGGCTGCTGTACTTCATTGCTCTGAAATCCTACAACATTTGCTTCATGGGCTGGTGTCTCACGGCATTCGTTTACCTGAAATACGAGCGATGGATCGTGGTTTTTGGCGCTGTTAATTACTATGGCTTCATTTTCCTTATCCTCTGGGCTGCCTTTTATCACACCTACCGAACCTTTTTCCGGGTTAGTTCGAGAAATCCAGGCGGCGAGGATGTAAAGCAAGTGGAGAATACGACAGAAGACAAAAAATCACAAGAGCAAATTAATGGAGAAAAGAACGCAGATGACAAGAAGTCTGAGTAGACAGAATGTATGGAAAGATAGTAGTTTGAAAGATTTCAAAATTTTAGTTACTCCTTGACAATTGTTTGGAATTGGTATTTATCATAATCTTACTAACCAAATAATGTGTTTTACCAAATAATATGCCACTGTAACTAGAGATTTGTTAACTAGCTGTCGAAAAGAACAATTTTTTACATATAATTCGGCTGCCTAGTCAAGGAGGAGTCATCCCCAAGTATACAGTGTGTTTTATGGCGATAAGATACTGGCTTATCTGGCCCCAAAACAGCACATTGTCAGTCGTATATATGTACGTTATGGAATTGTAAATTGTATAAGTGTTAAAATCATGATAGATCACATATAAGACTTTTAAGAGACCCGGGTCTATGAAAATCAAATAATTTATGTAACAGATTTCTTGTATTTAATGAGGGAGCATCATTCACGGAATCGTAACTAAGCCATAAAGACAATTTTATACCAATGCAAGGATTAAGGAATGAAAGATATATTTTGATATGCTCACATTAAGTGCAAATTTCTTTAATGGAAACGCGAAATAAATGCAATGAAGTTATTTTTAGGTAATTGCTACACTTTTCTTTATTATTTGGGTATGGAAATTAAGTTGTGGATCGTTGGTGATAACAAATTGTAAATCTTGTATCGGTTAAATGAAGTAAATATATGGCAAGAATATATATCGAGAATACAATTTGACATATATACAAAAAAATTGTTTCGGATTCGAAAGTATCTTTAAATTGATCGAAATGGAAGATATCGAAAATATCGCAATTTTAAAATATTGATATCGAAGTTTTTTTAACAATTATGAAACACAACACAAATTTATCGCACATATATTCAAGCGATAAAATATCAATTTATTGCAACTCAAATGTAAAGAAAATATTGATGTATAGATCTTATGCCATTCCTGATATCAGCTAATTACAACGAAACACATTTTGTAAGTCATAAACAGCTTATTTATTTTTATGATCAATAAAAATGGTCATGAGAATGTATTCGGAGGAGATGCTAATAATGTACGCTTTAGTGCTCCATAGGCTGGCCGTCGCCACTGCCGACGTCTACACGGCGCTTGGCTCCTCCGCCAGAAGCTGGATCCTGCTCCTCCTGCTCGTTGATTTCGCTAAACATGTAGTCGTCTTGGTACTCCTTCAGTATCTTGCTCGAGCGATTCTCGTCTAGGAACAGCGAGTATACCTTCTTCACATCCTCCGTGTTCACTTCTGTGGCCTTGCGACGGCGACACACCAAGTTGGCGGTGGTGATCAACTGGATGGCATAGCGCAGACTCGTGTTGGTGGCAATATGCGTGAGAATGGTTAGAGCATCTGGGTGCATGATGCAGTCCTCTTCCTCGCAACGAATCTTCAGAATCTCCTTGACTTCCTTTTCCGAATAGGGAACCGTGCGAATGATGATCATACGATCAAGCAGATCGATCGGAATGCCGTGGGGACTGCGATAGTTTGTGCCCCTGATGCGAGTGATTCCTCTGTTGGTGGCCATCACAACCACAGGAGCCATGTCCGACTCCAGAGCTCGATTCAGGAAGGAGAAACACTCGATATCTAGCATATGAACTTCATCGATAAAGAGAACTCCCGGGTTTATTTCAGCTTTTCCCTCCTCGCGCCACTCGAGCACTTTGTTGTTGATTTGGTCGCGTACTTCTTGCTTGATTTCACCAGTGTCGCCGGAGAACAGAGCCAGGAATCCGTGGGTGCGACTATTGATCACATCGATCTCGTGAAGGGTGACGGTGTGCACCACCTCCTTGCGTTTCTGCAGCTCACCCTCCGGGCATTGAACGAATCTAGTTTGGGCTCCAGTAGCATCGTAGTCCCTGGCTCGGGTGAAGCTTCTGCCCAGCTTGTTAACTTTCCCGGAAGCCTTGTCTATGGTGATGACATCGCCTGCCTGGATCTTTTCCTTCATGAAGCACTCAATAATCTTGTTGCCCAAATCGTAGTTGGTCTCCATCTCTGTGGTCTTTAGGGTAACCTTGCCCACTTTTTGTCCGGTTCCCGTAGCTGGGCGCTCGATTTGTATCTCCACCACTTCACCCTCGATGATCTCAGTTTCCTCCTTGATGCGAACGCCAATACTTTTGCGCAGAGCCTGGGACAAGGCCTCAGTTTTGCTCATCTCCAGTGAATATATCTCCGACCCCGACATACTGGTGAATGGAGTCTCAGTGCCCAGGGCCTGAGCCATTCCCACGGCGATAGCCGTCTTGCCGGTGCTGGGCTCTCCAGCCAACAGGATGCATCTTCCGGCGATTTTACCCTCGCGCACCATTTGGACCACAACTCCGGCGGCTCGGCGGGCATCCTTCTGGCCCACCATGCCCTGGGAAACCAAACGTGCCTCCAGAACATCGTCCAAACCCAAACCGCGGATGTGTGAATGGGCGCCAATGCGTTCGATGCGCGTTATGTCGCGAACTTCGATTTTCTCGGTTTCGGCCATTTTTGTGATTCTCAAAAATATTATCAAATATTCGTTTATCTCGATTCCGACCTTTACGACGCCTCACTACTTGTTTATGGAGCTTAAATAAGTTGCTAAGCAAATTATTGGAAACGCCGGGCCTGCTTTTTAATTCGAGTGTTGGAAAGCGACCGAAATGAAAAGTCAGCATGTTGCTGGGGATGGAACATGGGATAAGAAAGCTAAAAAATAGCCAAAAATTGGCCGTTAGGCCTCGAAAGTAAAAGGTCTGGCAACGTTAGTAGCTCGAAACCAAAAAGTCTGGCAACGCTGCTAGCACCAGACATAAATGTCTGGTAGCGCCACTTTCTCAAGCCCCTAGCGATGCCAGACTCCCGATCTAGGCACAGCTGTTTATATATTTTGTCGTTTGCAAGCACTGCCTTGGAGTATTTGGATTTTGTGCAATTTATTTATGTACTTTTTGAGTTAAAAACCGCATAAAACAATGTCGTTTCTAGCGCAAACTGTGCGCCAGATGATACGCCACGTGCCCCATCGCACTGCGGCACTCGCAGGTTAAAGAAACATTAATTAAAACCCTGTAAACAATGTGACATAACACTGCGTATTTCTAGGTGGCATGCGTTCGCTGAGCATTTCCCCGGCCTTTCTTCAACAAAATAAACCGGCGACCGAATCGGTTGATAGATCCGCTTTAAGCAAGGATCAGCACAAGGAGTGCTCGAATATATGTGAGCGGATTAACCAGCAGGTGGCCAAGTCCGAGCAGGGTCGTCTCTTTGCCGTGGTTCATCTGTGCGGCAAACAATTCAAAATTACTCCAGGGGACATCATACTAGTGGAAGGCTATTGGCCACCGACGATAGGCGATGAAATCAGCTTGGACAAGGTTCTTCTGGCAGGGGCCAGGGACTTCACCCTCGTAGGACGTCCGATTCTGGAGCCAGGCCTCGTTTCCGTGAAAGCCACTGTCGTGGAGAAGACACTAACGCACACGAAGACACACTTCCGGAAGAAGCGTAGGAAGCAGTATATGCGGATCAACTTCCAGCGGTCTCCCAACACCATGATCAGGATCAATTCAATTGAGTTAGCTCGTCCGGTGGATGGGAATAGCGAGGCGGAGGTGGAGCCCTCAAAGCGTTTGTTTTAGTTCAAAAAGCTGTTTATCAAGAAAAATAAATCAAATCGTTTAAAAGGTAATTAAGAAATGAAAAAAAATTATGTATGAGAATTTAAAACTACCAAGGAATTTTAATCAATAACCAAACACTTTCAGTTACAGTAGAAACAATCCCGATTATATCCTGAGATCAATCGAACCATTAAGAACTGGTATAATTATATAAAAAAATACAGGTTCTTTAAGTCCAACGTAACAAGGAGTATAATATATACATCTATGTATGTATATATATACTAGCATCGACTTTATGAGTTTGATTTTTTTAATAAGTATGAATGTCACATCCGAGTGAGCTTGACCGGGAGGTACAAGTCATTAATACCTTCAAGAATCAAAGCAAATCCTTTTTTAGGCCTGATCAAGAATAACTTGGGGCGATTGATTTCCCCAATTGATTTAAAAAGTTAAAAGTTTAACCAGAAAGTTATATATTGAAAAAAAGGGCTAATTCAGGACGCCGAAGTTTGTATAACCTTGCAGTATGCAGTTTGATTATTGAAAATCGATCCATTTTGGTCAAATGAAAAAACCTTACAGGAGAAATATATATAACGTTCATGTAAGTAGAAGCACCAAACTTTTGCAAATCTTTTTAGGTTCTTATATCAATAGACCGATTGCTATGGCTATATGATATAGTTACCCGATTTAAAGCAATATTTTAAAATCGTATAAAATAACTATATCTCTGGCTTTATTCGTATATGTTGAAACTCAAAGATAAAGTGACAATTCGCATGATATTAACCTTTAACGATCGGTTATACATTATAAAGTTATTAAATCAACAAACAATTTTGAAATCTCTTGAACCCTCTATTATTTTATTTAATTATTAAAGTTTGAAGAAGGTAGAACATAATTATCTGCGCATGTGACTTCATGGGAAACCTTTTAATAACAATTTTTAAATAATAAATATCAGTAAGGTTTTTTGAGAGTCCTTTGACCAAAAATTCCATTTTAAGGGAATTGCCCTTCTGAAGTTTTGTTTTCATTGGAAATTCCACTTTCATCTTGATTCAATGACGCTTGCCCGCCCACCGCACTGCATGACTGGTATTTACTCAAAAACGGCAACCTAGTTTGGACTATGAACTACCTGGCACCCCATCTCCGGTAACCCAGCAAAGAAGAGGCGTCGTCTCTAATGAAGCAACCAGCGGCATCCGCTGCAATATTAATGACAGCCTTTTATCGCCTATGTTGTTGTTGCCATCTTTCATTAAAAGACGTCTTCGTCCCTCCGTCTGCTTCATGGCTCTTCCACCAAACCGCCGCCCTTTGACCAACCTCTCAGCGGGTTGAAAGCTGCACGATATATATGTTCATATGCGAACGGGGCTGTAAAGGATGCGTGCTGCTTTCTTTATCAGCAGATGTAAGGTGCTCCCGAGTCGGCGGCTGTCGTATTTGTTTACGCTGCTCTTTCACTTTTAACTAACCAAAGGCGTTTACTTTTTAGCCCATCCTTTGTACCTTGATTTAGCTTTTGCTTTTCCCTGGCCTAAATTTCAAGTTTGGCCTTTCCGGTTTCAGTTTTGCTTCAGGGGAAAACGCGAATTGAAAGCACCATCTGAGGTTTAAGGAGGAACTACCTTTTAGTTTTAGGAATTATTAGTTCTTAAATAAATATAAATAAAATAGAAACTATAAACTTGGGAAAACTTGTCGCGGTTGCTATTGTTCTTTAATATTTCTTAAATCATTAGCTTTTAATCAGAGCGCATTAATAGCCTAGAAACAGGGGAATATGTGTAAAAAGTGAACCAGAAAGGCCCATTAATATCTTTTTGACACAATTAAACTTAACAATTCGAATTATCTTTTAGATTGTAATTATTTATTTTTTGCGATTCGCTTTTTTTTAGAGGTAGACCTTTTAAAATAAGATTAACAAGGCCATATAATAGTTAATCTTAGTCAACTATTTAAATTTTGTTTCATAAATTATAAATACCTTTTAGAGAAACATCTTTAAATACAAGATAGGTAACGCCATACGTTGTCTGCCAGTTTCACGCTCTATAGAAATATTTTTCAAAAGGAATATTATTATTTTAAGGTCTTTGCTTTAGCTCTGCTTAAAGTCTTAAAGTCTTCGACTCACAGCTTCTGGCAGCTTCGCTAAAATAAAATCACTTTTGCTCCATATAAAAATGTCATTAAAAATTATGGTTTCACATCACTTGCCCCTTCCTTGGCAAATAGGAGCCGACACGCGATGAGTCTAATGGTGCCACATCAAATTTCGCAAATTGCACAAGCAGCACAAATTCAATTGTCGACACTTCGGGCAAGTTTTGCTCAAATATCCATCACAAAAATGTATATTCCTGGTGCACTTTGCCAGCGACAAATCAAATTTCAATATGGGAAGCGCAAAGTAAAAATAAAAAGAGTAACCGGTAAATAGAAACACAAATTGAAAGCATTTTGGTGTGATAAAATTTTACCTGGCACACAGCTTGGTCGGGGTACTTTCGGCAGATTTCCCTCACTACTTTTTCGGTTGATTATGTTATTTGCCTAGGAAAATTGCATTTGATGTGCGTTAAGTGACAAAACGGAAATTGCCACCAAGCGGATGCTGGGTTTGTTTGTCTTCCTATGGCGCCCACCACCACCCACCATCAAGCGTCCATCTAAGCCACCACTTTCTGGCGCCCTCCCAGCTTTCTTCTCGCCGTGGAAATCCCATGTAAATGCGGCTCAAGTTGGGCCAAATTTCGTAAATTTATGCGTAGAGGCGTGTGATGTATGAGTCGAAAAAGGGAGAGAGCTGTGAGAAGGGGAATGTGGACACACGCACTGAAAAAAACGGGGACTGCTTCAAGGATTGAAAAATATACGAAATTTTATTGCAAGGTGCTGATAATAAAGCTTTTTTTTTTAAATAGCACCAGTTGAATATAGTATTGTTATAAAATAAAAAATAATGATCAAGCCGTAATTATAATATAAATAATTAATAATATAATTATAATTAATATTATATGTACAACTAGTATACAACACGCTTAAATATAATTATAAACTGTTTGTCCTAATACCTGACTCGAAATTCAGATTATTTCTCTTGATTTCTGTGAGTAAACCGTATAATTTAAAGTAAATAGCTACTTTTTAAAGATGATATTAGAAATATATAAAGCTTTTTGTCTCATATCTAGGCACATTTCTATATTTCCAAATCATATTCGTAACATGTTATCCATTCTTGCAAATACTCCGAAATTATATGAAAGTACATTTTGATATATATTATATATTTGTAAAAGAATTTTAGATATATAGAACAAATGTCTTAGAAAGAGTTTCAAATAAGTTCAAACTTTGTATACATATTTTTCCACCGTGCAAGGACGATGGTTACTGTATTATGATCAACCATCCATCATCAGCATCACTCAGTTTTGACATATCATTGAAATCTTATGCCAACGTCGTCATCATCTGTGACGTTTCATTAACCCAACTCCCCCACATACCTTGCCACGCCCATCAATCTGGGGGTGTTGATGGGAGGAGATGGGAAATGGGGGGTAGGAATGTGTTAATATCAACAAGCGGCAAAAACTGTGCGAACGCAATCTACCGATTTCCGCTTAACCAAGCCAAACATTGCATTTTTGATTAGACACCAGGCCCGACATCGAGCCCCCAGGCTGGTCAACTGCCAAGAACGAGGATATAGCCGAGCCTTCCAAGGGAATGTTCGCAGGGGTGGCTTTTTGATGTGACTCGGAGGCCTCTTGGTCAGGATGCGGGGTTGAACTTGGCGAGCAATTGATTGTAATGCCACTTTTATTGCCATTTTGCACAGAGTTATTTCTGTTCTGTGAATCTTTAAACCTGTATCGATGAGAATACAAGATAATTCCTATATTCTTTTTTAAGGTAGTAAAGTATAAGCTTCTTTGAGGGTTTAAGATTTGGTAGGCTTTAGCTTTCACTATTTGTGAGGAAGGACAAAGATACACTCCTTTACTTTTTATTTCTTCCTTTAAGAATGTTGGAACCATCATCTATCTTTCTATAAGAAAGGACTTATACGTATAACTGAGTTTACTTTAAGATATAAGATATTTAAACATACATATTATAAAGAACCAAACTGTGCAATACTTTCAACTTGAAATAAGTTTTCTGTTTTTTACAGCCCATCAATATCGTTTTTTTCGGCTTCGAGTTCAAACCTGAAGAAATTGTTTTGGCATTATATCGACTCCTTGCCATATACCCTCGTCATCATCACTTGCCTTAAGCATATTACATACGAATTATAAGACCACATATCATTCTTCGATAAGGGGATGATGATGATTTCTGTCACCTTACGCATAAGTTGAAAAAGTTTTTCTTGAAAATTATGCAAAAATGTGGAAAATGTTGGTTCCTCTCCTTGGGGATATTTTTCAGTTCACTGAATTGTTGTTTTGCGATGCCAAAAAAAAGTGATTTCCAGCAGCAAGCAAGGGTTGTGTCTTCAGGACGGGCTGCCTTTTGATAACCTGATGGTGATATGACAATCTGCTGGATCTTCCCTGCACGTGTCAGAATTCGAATTTAAATAAGTTCGACGAGCAGGAAAGTTGACAAGCAGCAGTTTGGGTTTCCCCCTTTCGGCTCTTAATGATGAAATTTCAATAAATGTCATTTGGACCCGGCAAAGTGTCAACATGGCACCTACCCGCCCCTATTTCCTCGCTTTCGAGGGGCTGCAACAGCTGTCAGCGCCGCGTTCAATGCGTTAATAATGACAGTTTTCCCCCAATACTTTTTTTTTATTTTGTTAGCCTAACTAGCCGGGAAATCGACAGAGAGTAGAGAACAGGATGGACACTGAACTCCATACAGTTCCCATTGCAGTGCCTGGTAAATTTAATTACTTTTCCATTGCTCATACGCACTGTGTGTCCCATGCAAAGCGGAAAACAGTGGTGACAGAAAAACAGCAGGCAGAAAGCTAAATAACTAAACATTCTAATTTTAAATTAAATACTTAATCAAATTC